AGGGAGAATTATCCGAAAAAATGCTTTTGAACAAAAGAAAAAGAAACCCGGGTTAATCGCTAATCGGCCTTCAAACAACTGCGCCCTGTAGAACATCTATAGCACTAGCCTGTGATCGGTACACAGGCTACTGTTGCACCAGTAAAACTAGAAGGAGAGAGGAAAGCGCGAGAAGGAGACACGCGAGGGGAGAGGGAGCGCCTGCACGGAGGGCCCCCGAAAATCGCTCCCTCACCCCTCGCGTGCCTCCCTCGCGCGCGCCCGCTTTATCTTTCGCCCGCTACTTCCAAGCGCCTGCTACGCAGGCTACAGTAAAACAAAAAGTTCTATTTACACGCCCGATGCATTCTGGCCAGAGTCTCCTCAAATTACAAGCACTTGAGACGAGCCATATGATATCACTTCAAAACCTTTTCACAATGATACACAGTTTAAATAGAGGTTTCGCTGTACGCAACCCTTACGTTCAAAATATGCCATAATCATAGTTATCTATCGCAAGAACCATCTACCCTTCCCCCTCAACTGCTACCAGTCCGCCTAACAAATATATCGAACGCACTTTCCCAAGCTCCGATTACTCCTAGTTTCTAGATCATATGCTAAAACACAGTTTCAAGCCGGAACGTTTCCGTTTAACTTTATTCACAATTATAAGCGGGAAATACAAAACTTAAACATGTAAAGACTAACACTTGACAGCTCTATACTAGTAAGGGCTCTTGAAAAGGGAAGTAAGGCAACATTTACGTGGACGGAAAGACTTCCTTCCATAAGCCAAAAAACTGCTAAATCTCGGTGAAGAAAAGGCAACAGATGATTTAAAGAGACACTACGAGCCTCAGCGCCCCGGAAGTTGAAAAATTCGTACCGTCTGGTTGCTATGAAGTGACGTAATCATCCAGTGGAGTATCCATCACCGTAACACTTTTGCGGTCAACTACCGCATCGCTCGTAAAGTACTTTAATTAAAACCGTGTTCAAAACCCTGTAGGAAGTCTGTTTATTTTTGAGTCGATTAATGCACTGCTGACTTTCACGAGGTCAACTTTTGCATAAATTATCAAACATTATGTTAAGCGGGAAATCTACCTATGGTTCGCGGGAGAAGCAACCTCTATAGCGGCGCAAGACAAATGTTTCGAGAGTCGAGGATGTGCTCACAAACTATTCACTATGCGACGAAAGGAGAAATCACTGGCATGATAGCTGCACGTAATGGTAACTTTATCAATCCAGGTCGCGCCGTGTTCGCTCGAGAACACTGTGGCAACCTCATTTGGCGCGGTTCTCAATACTTCCAAAACATGTTGTAATCGGTAAGTAGACTTAAGCACTTAGTATCGCCAAGCCATTCGAATCAGTGAATACCCAATTCTTTGTCTGAAGGTTCTCGCAAACACATATACCAAGTAAATCTGGATGGAAGAAGAAATTGTCTCCCTAAACGCAGCCAGATTATATTTTGAAGGATGGCGGCACAATTCAACGCGTCTTCCAGGTCAGCCCCAATTTATAGTTCGTAAGAGTATAAATTGCGATCTTCCTATTTTCGCTTAAGCTTTTTTTGATAAAACTTCAGTAGAAACAAAACAACGCAGACATGACATTCTCCTGCATGAGACACAATCGGCTGAAGGAAATATCTGTTTACAAGTCGGGTAAATTATCCATTCTTGCGCACCGCAAAATCAGCTAAAATCAGTCGCTGGAAACCTGGCATATTATTAAGCCTGAGCGCTTCTAAGAATAACACGTTTAGAACTTCGACGCGTAGAAAAAAAGGCAGTTGTTCTATATCCTTTCTGGTTCATCCAGGTAGAAGTCCTGGCATATTATTATGCCTGAGCGCTTCTAGGATATATAACACGTTTAGCATTTCGACCCGTAGCCGTAAAAAACAAAAATTAGGCAGTTGTTCTATATCCTTTCTGGTTCATCCAGGTAGAAGTCCTGGCATATTATGCCTGAGCGCTTCTAGGATATATAACACGTTTAGCATTTCAACCCGTAGCCGTAAAAAACAATTCGGTAGTTGTTCTATATCCTTTCTGGTTCATCCAGGTAGAAGTCCTGGCATGATATCATTATGCCTGAGCGCTTCTAGGATATATAACACGTTTAGCATTTCAACCGGTAGCCGTAAAAAACAATTAGGTAGTTGTTCTATATCCTTTCTGGTTCATCCAGGTAGAAGTCCTGGCATGATATCATTATGCCTGAGCGCTTCTAGGATATATAACACGTTTAGCATTTCAACCCGTAGCCGTAAAAACAATTAGGTAGTTGTTTTATATCCTTTCTGGTTCATCCAGGTAGAAGTTCTGGCATATTATTATGCCTGAGCGCTTCTAGGATATATAACACGTTTAGCATTTCAACCCGTAGCCGTAAAAAAAAATTTAGGCAGTTGTTCTATATCCTTTCTGGTTCACCCAGGTAGAAGTCCTGGCATATTATTACACCTGAGCGCTTCTAGGATATATAACACGTTTAGCATTTCGACCCGTAGCCGTAAAAAAAAATTTAGGCAGTTGTTCTATATCCTTTCTGGTTCATCCAGGTAGAAGTCCTGGCATGTTATTATTATGCCTGAGCGCTCCTAGGATATATAACACGTTTAGCATTTCAACCCGTAGCCGTAAAAAACAATTAGGTAGTTGTTCTATATCCTTTTTGGTTCATCCAAGTAGAAGTCCTGGCATGATATAATTATGCCTGAGCGCTTCTAGGATATATAACACGTTTAGCATTTCGTCCCGTAGCCGTAAAAAGAAAAAAAATAGGTAGTTGTTCTATATCCTTTCTGGTTCATCCAGGTAGAAGTCCTGGCATATTATTATGCCTGAGCGCTTCTAGGATATATAACACGTTTAGCATTTCGACCCGTAGCCGTAAAAAGAAAAAAAATAGGTAGTTGTTCTATATCCTTTCTGGTTCATCCAGGTAGAAGTCCTGGCATATTATTATGCCTGAGCGCTTCTGGGATATATAGTAGCAGTTTGACCCGTAGAAAAAACAAACTCAGTCGTTCATTTCGCAGGAGATATTTAAGCGTTTTTGTCTGTGTTAGCAATGTGATCGACTTTATACGCAGACCTTAATAATACGCTTTTTTTCTTTGATGGCACTGAATAATTTTAGCCGAAACCTGAGCCGTACATTTTTTGAATGCCGCGCTTTTAATTAAATTCTCGCCCTAGAATGATGACATGATGGCGCGAAAATTGACGCCTCTATCGTATTAGATGCGAAATATGATCAGAGATAAATGGAATAGTGAATGCTACAAGCTTCTGAGTATCCAGCTGAGATAGGGGACTTTTAGTCCTGTACAGTACTGCAAATGATCCCCAACCGCAAATGATCCCGAGACCGCAAATGATCCCCAAAATGGACCGCAAATGATCCTCGACCGCAAGTGATCCCCAAAGTCGACCGCAAATGATCCCGAAAGAAAAACAGGAATGACTTGGACTCAAGTTAGCGGATCATCGTGTCGATTTTATTATTATTACAATAAGTCAGGTTAAAAGCTAAATTTTACTTCTCAAATAAATATATGAATAAAAACTAAATGAAAAAAATCATTCAAGAGTAAACACGACGTAGGTAGGCAACACACGACTTTTACCTCATGCTAAAATGCTGCTTGTTCCAATGACTTTTTTCCGGCTCTGGCGGGTAGATTTTACCTCTGAGGAAAACGTTTTGACTGAGCAAATGTGATTTTTGCTGCTTATTTCATAGTGACAGGTCATGACACGCATTTTCTGCGGTTATTGTTGTTTCTGGTCGGCATGATTTGCCCTTTGATGCAAGAACATTTCCTTTGACCTCTTTTGAAATACAGTGCTCTTCATTGCCGCTAAATAAGGGTTTTAGGTTGTTTAATTTTCTCCTAAGTGCCTCCTGGATCCGAATAATCATAAGCGATTTTCTTTTAGTCCGTGAATGTGACGGTTTCTTAAGATGTTTTGTCACGCGATAACTACCGCTTACCTGGCTTTGCGTTTCTCATTACCAGGTTTAGATTTCTGGTAACTGTCTTCAGCAAAGCACAAGAAATGAATATACATAAAAACGCTAATATAACTATTCACAACACGTTCATGAGATGTAAGAAAGTTGCTATTTCGAAATGAACCGAAACCTGTGGACATTGATAAGTTCGGGGGCATTTTGACTTGTGTTTATGTTAAATCATGTCTTGTTTCGTAATGGGCACCTAAGTTACGAACAAACGTCTTGCTGTTTATCACATAAAATTAACACTTCAGAGAAAAATCAAAATGAAATATTCTGGCTGATTAATTTCACGCTTTCAAAAAGATCAGTAAAGTCAATAAAGCCCTTGTTAGGTAGAGGGTGCCCGGCTTTGTATTCCTCAATAGAAAGGTTGAGCTTCTAGGCGTTAAAATAATTTTTCTGCGTAACGTCCTGCCTGTCTTAAATTTTTCAAAAGACGAAACATTCTTGAAAGAAAATTTAAGCAATCGACAAAGGAAGAAGTATACGGTTAATACCATACCTTTTCAGATTTATTCCATTTTTTTTTTCGCCTTGTATAAATTGACCTGAGATGTAGCGTCCTCCTTCCCTTTTTCTTTAAAAGGCGAGAGAAAAAGGTTTCTTTTTTATAATCAGTCCTTTTTTGTAATCAGTCCCATAAAATCCATTCCATTCCTCAAGTTTTCACGGGATCATTTGCGGTCGACTTTAGGGATCACTTGCGGTCGAGGATCATTTGCGGTCCATTTTGGGGATCATTTGCGGTCTCGGGATCATTTGCGGTTGGGGATCATTTGCGGTACTGTACAGTCCCCTATCTCAGCTAGATAAACAAAATTTTTTTGGTTGCTAAGACGGTGCGGCTCGTTATGTAATTAAATATTCCTTATTTTTACAAGCGTTTACCTATAAAAAGAAGCTTCTGGGACGGGAAGTCTTTCTACAATGATATGTGACAACTTGACTTCACTTTAACTATGTTTTATTGACTTCTCATTTTGACACTTTACAAGCACACAAAAACTTGTTGCAGCTCCTTTAATTTATCCTGACTGGACTTGAGGGCTGTCAGTGTTACTCATAATAAACTTATTGTTACATCAGTAGGACCAGTAGAAATCCGATTGGCTGCTAGAATTATTAGCATATTTAGCTCGAGGTTATGGCGTAATAAGAAAAATGACTTTGAGTCCAAAAATTCACATCAGAAAATGTCCAGTCAAAATGAAATAGCTGAGTCAGAAATTTTCAAACAATGTTCGCATGAATAAAATCACTTTGTACCATACAGTTACTACCAAAAAACCGAGAACGTCGTAATAATATTAATTAGTCGTAATAATACTAATTTAGAGTCCCTTCTGTTCCCATATTTATTAACTCATAAGTTTGTTTACGAGTTTGCTAGGAAAAAACCGGTGTCAGTAGCTAAGAAAAAATATTGCATTGACCTCTGAGCAATAGATGTTTATCTAGCACCTAATCTCAAACAGCCATAAATTACTGAATTATATTTAATCAAATAAGCTAAACGATCCGATTGCGAAACACTGCCGGATAACCTGGGTTGTAGCCTCCAAACACGGGACAACTCAACAAACGTCCCAAAAACGCAATAGACTGGTAAAAACAGTATTTCCTTGGAGAACTTTTAAAACTCTTCTGGACAACTCCTAGGAAAAACTCATCAATGCAAAACAAAGGTTTGCTTTGCTTGGACACTGAAATCAACTGAGTACTAACTCATGCAGTTTTAATTTTAGCAAAAGATAGAACTTAAAAATCTTACTAAGGCACGTGCGCGTTTGAAAACTCGACGTCCAAAAGGAGTTTCTCTACCAGAGTATATAATTAATCAAACATCTTTAAAATATTATAAATCAAGACGAAAACTGTAAAACTACCACAAGGCACAAGCTTTGGTGATTATCTTAATGTAAATAACATTGTAAATAACAATGGTTGTAACATTCATAAAAATCGCGTCTCAATTCACGTTTCAAATTGGGCAAAAATTATTGTTTTATACAATAATGCTAACACACCTGGCTGTCAGGCTGCCACTGCCACCAGTACGAATGTAAACGCTTTACCTCGGCTAAAAACAGTTGCAGAAACTTTTGTAATTAGGAATTATGTTCAGTGAGCAACAAAGTAAGCAATGAACCGGGATAGAAAAGCTTGCGGCTGGTTGTACGGGAAAGTTCTCAAAAATGCAAAGAACAATGAAACGTTCTTCGCTAAGCAGGAGCCCTTGTGGGCTCCTGGCTAAGTCAAAACTTAAATACCTTCTTAGCAGCCAAGTTATTACCTAACCAGTATTCGCTTATATAATGATCACTTATCAGTTTATACTTCTGTAAAATTAATAGTCTAAAGACACTACTCAAGGCGATTTTGCATATGAACTAGTTGCTGACTTACATGATCTGTTCGTTTTTAAATGAAAATTGATTAACAAACAGTTTTGCATCGGCGTGCTTAAAGGCCCTATAACCAGTAAACCTCCAGTTCTATTCTATTGTATTCTAAGATTTTTTTTTTCTACTTGTCTGAAAGCTAATTTAAAGACGCTTGCTGGCTTTGAAACCTCGTTTGTTAGTTATTTGTAATATATATATTTTTGATGATTTTTAAAATTTAATCTGGGGCATCATCATCAAGCTAATTTGTAACTAGCAACTAATCAGTATTTACAAACATTCTTATCCGATGCTGAGAAAATATTTACAAAAACTGGTCTTTTTTAAAAGTGATATAAAATATAAATAGACCGTTTTCCGCATCAGGACCTGCCTGACTTGGTCAACGTAAAAGATTGATTAAGGGCCGACTTAGTGCCTCGACTGCTTATTTCATAACTGTATAAACTATTTGCATATACATATATAGTCCGTCCAAGACTTCGTATAAAAATAATTATATTTTAATATATATTAGTGTTATTTATTATCATACAGAGAGCCCTCTCGCAAACGCGATTTTCAGTGGCGCCTGAAGCAACAATTTGGCATCATTTGGACCGGTCAGCTCACGATGCTGCTGACAGTGAGTCCGTTGACGTCAAGTGACAGAGCATACCTTCCACAATATTAATAGTGCATCAAAATTCGTCAATCATGATAACTTTGGTAGAAAGCTAGGATAAAAACCAATTAACAACAGTTTCCAATGATAACCGTAGCAAACCTTATAAAAACAGGTTAGAAGCCGAATAGGTCTCTTCAAAATGTCTATAATTAATGATTTCTTTAAAAACAGCATAGGAAATGTGGTTTCGCCAAACGAAAATTTGATCACTTTGTCGAAAACTTGCATTAGACTACGCGTCACATAAATGCAATTAATACTGTGAAAGACCTGCCCTGTTAAGCAGTCGTGCCATCTAAATCGGCCTAATCAAATAAAACTCCGGTACTAACTGCCATAAGGCAGATATTGCGCTTCAACCGATCAACTTCTCCAGTAGGAAAGTGGGACTCGTTCCAACTTCCAACGGCATCAATAGAGTCTGTCGCCACTCCAAGAGCATCGAACGCGTCTTTAGCGAGTTCAATGTACCGATCAAACGTTGTTTTATCCATTTCTGAACTGGCGGAATGAATAATTGAATTCCGGAGGAGTCGCAGCTGATCAATCGCAAGTGCGAGCGTTTCCGCATCGTTCCCACCCGTACTTAATACAGAGGTGTGGAAACTCCCATTAGGCATGAACCCACGGGGCTTTACATACAACTCACTGAGTGTTTTAAGGTTACCTTTGCTGTCCGGTAAAGAGAAGACTTTCGCGTAGATAGTGGCTTGAAACAGCGCGGTGCAATCCCACCTCTTATACGACTCAGTTGTGGGAACTTTGGAGTTGCTTCCCTCTAGTCCCGAAAACAAGTTTCTCACACCTTCGGAGTCATCCCAGATCGGTCCCGAGCCAACGTTATCCCACATGTGTTTGAACGTCTGGCGTAGGGCTTTAGAGAATTCATCGACGACAAGGGTTGTAAGCTTTAAGAAGTTCAACTGCTCGTCCGTGTACCTCTTGATAACAACCATCTTTGTCAACCTCGTTCCCAGAATTCTCTCGGAACGAGGTTGAATCTTGGCCCCTCTACGACGAGAATAGGTGAATCTACCGTCTAAAAAAAAAAGAAAAAGTCAACCACCAGTGTCTACTGAGTACATTGCATGTGGATTTATTTTTGTGGGGGAGGGGGGAAGGGGGATGGGCAGTAATTCGCAAGTGGGGTGGGACACTAGATTTCAAACGTGGGTGAAAGACAGTGGAATGTGGTGAAAATAATCGTTTTTCGGGCGAAGGAGTACTCAGTATGTTACTCTATGGAGTCACTAGTCACCATTGACGTTGTTGAATAATAACGGGACAAATTGGGAAGAACGGTCAGTCGTGCCTCCGGAAAGCTTTGTAAAACTTGATTGGAATGGAAATACTATCGTTAGCTTTAATCTCATTTTTAGATGGTCCTCAGCTTCTGTGTCCAAAGGCTCTAGCTACAGACAGATTTTTACTAAGAATTCTGAAAATTTTTATTCAATTTCGGACAAAAAGGGGGGTATATTGATCCCACATTGACAACTACCAGGAGTTTTGATAAGTCAGAAATGTATAATGTTCGTTCGGTTTAAAACCAACACCGTAGCATTCCAGCAGTTCTTAATGTATTCTTGAGTCATCTTTCAGTGTCCATCTTAAAACGTCAGTGAACGGGCGAAAAAAGAAACCTTTCGCAAATCGAAACTGAAGTTTAGAGTGACCACATAAAATTCATGAGCCAGCACTGCGCATGCTCACTAGCCGGAATGAACTGATGCGACAACTCGAAACAAAAACTAATTTCCAAAACTCAGCAAAATTTTCCGTAGACATGGAATCTCTTTAGTTCGGAAAACTTATCTCTTGCGTATAGTGGTTTTATCAGTTGTAATATCCATTTTGAAATCAGTGGTGTTCCCTGCAATCTTGACGAATCACACTATTATTTTTCTAAATCACATCTGTTCCAAATCGTGTCAGTCATGTTCTAAATCGCATCATTTCTGTTTTAAATCGTACCATTTTTGCTCTATGTCGCATCATTTCTGTTTCTGTTTCTCGCGCTGCGCGCTCGTCTGATTTTGAAATCACGCCTATGATTTCAGACCAAACTGCACTCCTCTCAGTTCAATTACCATCATTTATCGTACTTAAAAGCACTTTGATAAAAACAATTATAGAAAGCATAGAACTTAGCTACCTTGAACTTGCAAAGGAATTAGACTCTAGCATCTTCATTCTCTCTTCACTGTTAACTCCACCGCTAGCAGACTAAAATGATTTCAATTGAAATGAATTATTCTTTTGTACACCGCGCCATGTGCATTAAAGCGAAACCTGGTAAAACCTCAATTAACTCAGAAGAATAGTACTCGTCACGGGAAAAACCCCTAATCAATATACAAATGAAGCGAGAAAAGAATCCGTATTGTATGATCCACTGTGACTCAGCATTGCTTGTTAATAAGGTATTGTATGAGCCACTGTGACTCAGCATTGCTTGTTATCCTCTGTGACTCAGCATTGCTTGCTAATGAGGGTAAAGCCCCTTATGAATTTCAAGACGTTGGGTGGAGATATTAAGAGGGGTAACCCCCGCGGAAGTTTAGAGAAACTCCTGGCTGTGACTGGTTACTAAAAAGCTAGAAAGCCCGTTCAAAATTTCTGCCGCTTGAATTGAGATGCCCAAAAAAAAAAAATAAATAAAGTAAAAGTAAAAATAAATAATAATAATACAGACGCGTTGAGCTTTACTGTATAAAACTATCTCTAATAATCCACGAGCCTGGTCCATAATTTTGGAAAATGAGAAGAAGATCCCAAAAAGCTTTATTTTATTTTATTCAAAGAAACCAACGTATTACAGTCGACTCTCTCTTAACGGGCACCTTCACAGTAAAACGGACACCAAGGCGGGTCTGTCCCTGCCTTTCTTTACACCCTTTATTTGAAAAATGACCGAAAGCGTGGAGTATTGAAGGCGTCGCACAAGTTCTTAATCATAATCATTGCAACTCAGATCTCATTTATATTAACTGTTCATCACCTTTGCATACGGTTAGTTACACTCGCTAACAGGTGTTTCCAAAAGTGACACATTTCATTTGGGTTATTGTGCGTTGTAACCCAGTTCCAGTCAATCATGCGAAGATCTCGCAAAAATTCAGGGTCAAAGTCGATCAGGGTACTTGAATATTGTGTGACTCGAGTTGGTTCTGTAATAAGTTGAGTCAGACCATAAATATCGATGATATATAAGAGGTGAGAAGAGATGTTACTGACAACCTCCGATAATAAATTACAATTTAAGTCACCCATAAGATATAGCTCCAAGTTTTCAGCGTCAATTTTATCAATAATTCTCTCAAAGGTTGCAAAGAGGTCAGCAGATGATTGTGGTAGTCTGTCATAGGTGGACACAGAAAATGCTTTGAGCGGGTATTAGTGATTTCAACGGTGAGACGTTCAAGATTATTCGGAGTAAGATCAGCACGAAGCTGAAAATTGATATTACTACGAACGTAAATACAAACACCACCACCCGTCCTGCCATTGCTCACACGGTCTTTGCGAACTACATCATAACCTGGTAGATTTACTTCACCGTCTTTGATGGTCGCATCCAGTTTTGTTTCATTTATAGTTAGAATATCAATATCTTTAAACAGATTCATAAATACGCGTAAATCATCGATATGAGAAACCAAACTTTAAACAAGTCATAACCAAGCCACGACCAAAAACTGACTTACCGTTTGCTTTTTGCGTCGATCTGCGATTTGTAGATATCGGTGGGTCAGGAATATGATCGTACTCCCAAACGGCACTTGCCTAATCTATATATTTACAAAAGTTCTCCGCTAAAAGGGCAGTGCCGGACGTAGATAAATGTAGCCCGCCCCGATTTAAATGAGTTAGGTTGACATTATTGTGTTCAATAACGTTCCAGTGGTTCTAGGGGCAGAATTTTTTGAGGATTTTATTGACACGTGCGACTTTTCCTTCTTTGTCATCCCCCCTCGACACTATGTTGGTGTTTGGCGCGTCACCTTCAATTGGAAGAGCCAGGTTGACAATGCCTTCGTAACTACGAGTTACAAACATATAAGATTGTTTGACTGCAAATAAGACCAGTTTAGTTCAGTTTAGTAATTAGTTATACATATCTGTCTAAAAGAAATATGTGCACTTAGTCACTCATTTCATCAAGTTGGCATCTGTTATGAGAAAACTCTACGCTGAAGCGAGGAATTGGAAAGCAAGCTTTACATTAAAGCTTCACTTGAAGGGATACGCTTCACAGTCTCTCAAAAAGAGCATATTCTAAACGAGCTAAGTATCGAACAATCTAACACACAGCAGACAGTTAACAATTTTTACAACTGCACTTTTAACTTTTAGTGTTGAAGTAAATTTTCAACTAGCGTGTTAGACTGCAAAACAGTCCGTATTTTTGCGTATTCAAGTACGCACGAGCAGTCAAATAAAAGGTCTGGCGTGGGGCTCGCGCGCTTCGCGCGCGTAAGACTCTTACGCCGCGCTTTACCGATTTCTTTACTGATTTTGAGAAAAAACCAACTGTTTTGCAGTCTAATGGCGTGTTAATGCTACTTCTTATTGAATGAATATATTTTACCTTTTTTCGGAATCCAAGTTCTTGAAGACTGTTCTTAAAATTATTCATGAGTTTAATTGATGGATACATTTTATTATGGAACGGTTAACTGTATTTACAAGTTAAAAAAAAAAAAAATTAAAATGGAAAGGAAACCATTTGATCTCTATCTTTACTCCTGGGAGGCAGCGCGCGTTAACCGCTTCCCGAAGATATTCATTACAAGGGACACAGTCAGCTGATGCACATGCGCCTTTCATACCATTTCTTAGCTGATTTGCATATCGCATACACGCGCGTGGAAGAGAAAGTGAGAAGCGCATCCGGAATACTCTAAACAAAAGTTGTAGAGTTGAACTAGTTACAAAGCCGAAATCGTGATTATAGACTTTACAGAGCACTCATTTATTATATACTACTGGGAATTCACCGAAGCGGATGGATTTGTCCAGGGAAAGCCAAACATGGACGAATACTTCTGAATTCGATCGTCAGTAGAGGTGAGAAATGATACGGAGTCTGCACGAATCATTGTCGGTTCAAGGTTGATAAAGCTTGACTTTCCAAACATATGTAACCTTTTCCATCGATTTTCTAAATATATATAACGATTATTTGTTCTCCAATGTTACTGATTCATTTTTTTGTTATTTGACAAATTAAGGCGATTTCTCCCATCCGGCGCCTACGCGTCTCTCACGTCTTCTGTTCATATTCCTTTGAATACTGTTTTTAACCATAAATGATAAGATAATGTGATAAAATGGTTAAAGTGTACTCAAAAAGAGGTTTTCTGTAAAAGATCGAGGATCGAATGAAACAACCGACGCACTTGATAACTGAAGGCATGCGCCACCAGAACGGGGAAGATAAAGCGAACACCACGCCGCAGAATCGCTAAATTTAAATCTGTAGCATCGAGTTCTTGCATGCTGTGCCATAGTTCAGGGATCTTTCTTGACAACATAGTACTTCTTGTATCGTAACTAGGAAACTTTAAGCAATAATTTTCTCCGAGTGTGTAGCTATGAGGTAGAAAACCTATCTAGGTAGATAGCGGCTGTGGTCCGAGTCTTGTATTTAGTACGGACCTCCCGTACGCTTCCACCAATTCGTGCCGTTTAGGTTGGTAGCCCGCGGGAGTTTCGACTGTATTTGATTCTTTCGTTAAGAAACAAAAATGAGTCACTCTCATTGTGACGCCAAGAAGAGCAAGAGAACTAGGCTGCGTAGCAGGCGCTTGGAAGTAATGGGCACGAGAAAAAACGGGCGCGCGGGAAGGAGACACGCGAGGGGAGAGGGAGCGCCTGTACGGAAGGTCCCCGATCGTTTCCCGCCCCCAACCTAATTACCTGGCAGCCGTTGCGTGATGTGTACAAAGGTTTGACAGAAAACGACTGACCTCCCACAAACAAAGCGTGCCGCCAAAAAGCGATGTACATTTTATCTTCGGTCTAAATATATCTGTTATTAAGATCAGCTAGTCGACCGCTTAACAGTGGCCTAGGGTGACTGTATACTGGGAGGTGATCTAAAATTGAACGTGCCATATAGAAGGCAAAAAATTACATGGATCTCACTTTGTTATCCATTCAAAATATTTCTTCGGTTCTGATTAGCCTATAATCATGTCAGTACCGTTTACCAAATAAGTGGAGACGTTTGTCGCTTAGCATCCGTGGGAACTCTTTTCGATCGTGTTATTGCGCGAAAGTTAATTGGTTCATGCGTCACTGTACTGTACTTAAAGGTTTTTAGTAGTTCTGTAAAAGTAAAAATCAGTTGCACTCCGAACATAATATTGCAGTTTGGAACAAATCACTACTGTCTTGTAGTGAACCAGGTTTGTTGACCGTCTTGCTGTCCCTCCAAACGATGCCAAGAAGTTTTGTGATCGCATATTGCACCAAGTTATTTCGCTCGTTTAGAACATGGAGAATTAATGAGTGACATGATTTAAAATTGAACTCTCTTCTGATGCTCTGTCAAAGGTCGCTTGCAATCGCTGTTTCATAACCCTTCCTGATCGTGTAAGTGTACGTAAGGTTAAATCTTGTCATAGCCACTTTTACTGGACCTCTGGTACAATGAAGAACATCCAGATCTTACGCCTTGACATGTAAATATAACTCCATCCTGAAAAGAGAGGTTATATCAGAGACTGTAAGAGTGGGGGTAAGGACGAATCCTTAGAAGAGCAGTACTAATGCAAAGTACAAAAGTAACTTGTGGCTAGATTTCGCCCCATGTACGGAAAATCAAGACAGTCTTGGATTCTGGATTCCATACCGTGGATTCTGGATTTTAAGTACTGGATTCTGGATTCCAATCGTTTGAGTGGGATTGCGGATTTCGTGAGCTGTATTCCAGTTTCCAAAGTCCAGGAATCCGGATTCCACAGCTAAAACTTCCTGGTTCCGTGTTCCATGGGTTAAACTTTAAGTAATACCTTGGTAAAGTCGGCTTCTATTTACCTTAACAAGAGATGGAATTCCAGCCCAGAATTCGTAATTAGGTATCACCTCCGGCACACTTTCTACTCCCATTTTGTATCTTTTAATAAGAACTCCAGCAATTAAATAAAAAAGAAGCAATGCGAAAAACCTGAAAAAAAAAAGACGTAAAAACATTACGCAAGTAGAACAAAATAGTAGCCTGGGAATACTGCCCTTTCTAATCTTCCCTTGTCCCTGGAGGATGAAGACGTTGCTGAAAAGATGATTAGCGGCTGCATTCGTAGCGTGCGCCACAGACGAAACTTAACTGTGGTAAGGCAAAACAGCTGCGAAATCCTTGCTCTTCGATCGCCCCCACCTGCTGTGTACCAGGATTTGAGTACGAGCCATGATTAGTCTATTCAATGTCGATTTGTCAATCAGAATAAAAGCAAATCTGAAAAGCATTTCCGGATCGTTGAGTCTCGGCGCTGCTCCGCAGACGTTACTGAAACTGGGATTTATGGGATCAATTTAGGTTTCTGGGAAACTTCCCACCTACCCCTCCCCTAAGCCAACGTTAACACTTACTTCTCGTTTAGGGCAAGATGTTAATTTAGGGGAGGGGTAGGTGGGCAGTTTCCCACAAACCTAAACTGATCCATGAGGTCGTACAAAGTATTGAAATATGCGGATCCATAACTCAATACAATAGCTAAAATCTATTTGAACTCACACTATCAATAAAATACTTCCAATACTGAGTTTGCTACTTCCTGATTCTGATGGACTATCACAGCCATTGTCACATGCGCATCTGGATGTAAAAACCATAGTCTACGAGGAAACAGATTGTAACAGAAACAAAAAATTGAATCGAATAAACCAACTCGTATATGTTACGGAAAGAAATCTTCCAAGTCGGAAGCTGCGAAGCTGCAAAACTGTCCCAGATTATACACTAACCGTACAGCGTCAAAGACACATCAGTCACGCTGTAATAGCAGGGTGCAGCCCAAGAACCCTATCAATTGCGATATTTAGCCATCTTAGCACACTAAAAATGCGGCTTTCCACATCTTGGAAGCGCTCAAGAGAAGTAATCTGTTTCATGAGCTGAACTTAATGTGTTGAATTAAAAATATCAAAAGCTTCATATATTTCATGTTAGAACAACTCATCCACTCTTGTATTGTCGCCTATGTTTGGGCCGGGGATTTTCGGATGCCCATCTTTTCACGTGCCGATCTTAATGCATAAATTAAAGTGATAGCATGTCCAGGAATTTTAACATTTATTCTAAAATGTATTAGAAGCGAATTATTAGATCAGTCCGATTAAGCAGGAGTACTTTTTATTAAAAGAGGTCCTCCTAATTTGAACGAAGTTGTGCTCATGAAACATTCGGTATTTGAACCTGGCCTTGAAAAAGTTTGAAACAGAACAACATCTTGATTGGACTTGGATAATTTGCCAAAAAAAAGGAGCAAAAAACGGTTATTCGTCAAAACCTTACATAGGCTGAATTTTTTGGTTCGTAACGTTCTGTTACTCCGCTCCCTGTATTTCCTGGATACTGGGATTCGTCACATTTAAGTGTGATCTCCACTGATCTGAAAAAAAAGGAAAAAATGACACTAAATAAAGGCTTGAAAAATCAAATGAGCTGGTTTGAGGCTGAGGAGGAAAAAAAACACAAAGCTCTCGCTGTTTTTTCCCTTAAATTGCCAAACCACTTTACTTAATATCTTTCTCACCCGCGAAAGTGACTTCATGATCTTCCTGCATGGTAACATTAGAACCGGGTAAAGTAACATGAGCAAAACTTAACTGAACTTTAGTCATTGATTATGTTGAGTAAAAGATTGGTTTTAATGACTCTGAAGTTGAACATTTAAACAAAATGAATCACAGGTTTTGTATTTTCAATGATCGCACAATAAGATTTCATCGACCTGACAGATTCAGGATTTAATGAATTCACTCGAAATGTTGACTGACTCATTACATTGTCAATGCATTTTCCGCTGATCAGATTAAACCGAATCACAGAGTTTCCCAAATAAACATCGAAATTTAGTTACATACCGTTTGTAGTCCTTGCTGTCAGTAAATGACTGGTAGATAATAGTGGTTGTACCATCCTTGTTAACTTTAAATTTAGAGGTCTTCTGCGCACATGGGTTGTTTTCATCTGTAGAATGCAAATTTTTCTGGCACATCTTGAATAGAAAAAAAAAAAAACAACAACAACAACAACAAAAAACAAAACAAGAAAAAGAAATTATCGCGAAACATGGGCTTAATTGCAGTTCTGATGTTTCTAGCGATTCTATTACATAAATTCTAGACTTAGAAGAGAGCGAATCACAGTAAAACCGCCTGCAAGAAAATAGGCAACATACTAAAGGAAAGAAAGTGTCAGTAGCTAGGCTTTTTCTAGAGGTACGCACGTCTTTTCCGAGTACACCATAACCTCAGTTCTCCGACGTCGTTTTCAGATGACTTTATTTGCTTTTTTTTATCAATTGGGTTGTCAAATTGTGATTGTAGTCTTGTTATGTTAAACTTGTATCAATCTAATAACGGCGCAAAATAAGAGAGTTATTTTTCCTGAGATCGTATAAAAACCGCCTTTCCATTTTGGCAGTCTTTTTTATACCCTTGTTTGGAAGCACACAGTTTTAGTCAACTATCTATAAACGATGTGTTTCCGCTTTGGTTGATTGAAAGGGTTTTGATATATGGGTGTCGTTTATCCGGGCATCAAAAGGTTCGTTCAAAAAATAATACACCTGATGAAGCTAAAATATTGTGCCAGTCCGTGCTTTAAGAACGGCTCAAGAATTTCCCCTAAACGCGTTACGCCTCATTTTCACCGTTTTGCCGCTTGAGTTTTTAAGGGTATTAAACTAAAAAGAAACCTCTGACTCTTGGGATTTTATTTAAAAGCAAATTGATATCGTTGGCTATGAAACATGGCGCTGTTTGTTTTTGCTTCCACTTTCCAGCTATCACTAAGTGAAACGAGCTAAACGCTCTCCGAATTCGAATGCAGAGGAAATTTTACGCCCAAAAATCAGGTTCTAAAGGTAAAAGGTTCACTTAAATCCCGCCGAATTGTGGCCCATGAAAACCTGGACGTTATTAACACGACAATTTGAAAACAAACTGCTTAAATATGACTATTGGCAGGTGATGTGACAGCTTGACCTCCGTGTTTTATACTCACATAACCTCTACTCTCAGCCAATCAGAGTGCGTGTTATATCCGAACTTCATTATAATTAAAATTGAAAATGTTAATAACTTACCAGCATATTGAGACATTCAGAGTTTTCGCTGAAGCTCGTACAAGGATTCCAGTCAAATGTATATTGCTTACTGCGAACAGTTGGAATGTTTTTAAAACTATAAAAAATTAACGTACAAGTTAATTGACCCAGGGACTGTTTTGAAAAAGCCATGTTGAAACTGTAACAATCAATAAATTAATTAACAATTAATGCTCTGCAGCCTCCCTCGCTTGTGGGATGCAACCTAAAAGTTAGATATTCCAGAAATAGTAGCCTTTTCCAGGGGCCCTTATTCTTGACACCTGCCATCTTTGCACGCGCTGAAGGACTGATGGGATAAAAGCGATGTCACGTGGCTTCTCAGGGGGCAAACAAGTACTAAAATCTCCCAATACAAAAAATCGCTGTTGAGTTTGTTTATTCTACACAACAGAAAATGAAGAACTTGTTATCTTAAAAACGATGATGACAAATTATGGGTAGAAGTGATTATTTTACGTTTTGAGACGCAGTAGCGACCGTAGATGTTCTCACATCAAGCAATAATGACGTAGAACTTTTCGAAACTAGAACTGTGCCTTTTGCGGAACTTAAATCGTCCTCTAGTTTTAAGAGAAGATAATACCTCGGCCGCGATTTCTCCTATTGGCAAATTTTACTTCTTGTTTGCCTCTCAAATACAGTACCACGTGACATTGCTTTTATCTCATCAATCCTAAAGCACCTTCAAAGATGGCAGGTATCGGGAGAAAGATCTGTTTGGGGGGGGGGGGGGAGGGGGGGGGCGGGGGGAAAGGGTGTGTAAGAGGGAAAAGCTGGTGCAATTTGGCACTTTAAAAACGAGAGGGAAACTGGAGAGAATCAGATTTCGCAAAGACTTCTGGGATCGTTACTGAGGACTCGCCGTTCAGCTATTGGCCAACAGGTCTTTGCGAAAGTTAACTCGGCTCAGTTTCCTTATTTTTCTAAAGTGGCGAGAAGTGGTGTTGCGTGACTTATCTCACTCTGTCTTTACATGGGAAATCTGGGTTGTAGATTGCTGCGTGACGACACTAAAACGGCTCTGAGGGAAACTATTTTTTCTGGCATGTGTAGGAGGGGCCAGTCAGTTTTTTTCGGAGCGAAGAAAAAAATTTCGAGGACGAGTGAGTACAAAGAAAGAAGAGGAGAAGAGGTTTCTAAAAAACCTTTTTTTTTTTAATAAAAGGGACATTGTAAACCTTTAAATGGTGAAAGAAAAATACCCTTATATTTAGCTTCGAAGTACATTTGCAAATTTCTCGCCTTTGACCACACGGTGAAAGATTCCCTTCCATGCGTTATAGCGCGCCTTTATCCCCCTGTCCGTTCACCTTCAAACGTTGCTCTGTCACGCCGGCCTATGCAAACACAAGAGGTAGCCTAACCCAAAAAAGAATTAGCATCGGCATTTTACCGTGACGTTTGACTATAAGAATTTGTATGAGGAAAAAATCAGTTGTTCTTTTTACCTACGGACGTGAAAGAATTTAAATAAGAATCAGCTAACCTCACTTTTAAAAGTTGCGTGATTCTTCCTGCGGTTCCCAAGCCGATTTATGGCCATTTTATGTTTTTTTTTTTTCAACCGGTTTCGTCCCTGTATGGACGGATTATAGAGAGAGCAAACCTGTTTACACTAAAACCCATACAATTCCTATAAATCGCTCCCCATACAAACTTTTATTTCGGAGGTTACGCAGCCATGCAGCTCCATGCCGATGCTCATATTTCGAGCTTGGTTCGAGACCCCGGGGTTCGAGAGAACCTTTTTGCTGTTAATGTGCTGATTACCTAGATATTTTTTTTCGAAGTAATAATTAAAGGACGGGTCCCACAGGCCTTTGAGTGGTTAGTCCTGTTTAAGTCAGAGGAGAGAAATATACCCTGCTTATCCCCTACCTGTTTCGACCCTTGCTACGCCGATTGCAAAATTATTGACACATTTTGATCGCTCTGATATATGATAATCATCAGAAAGTGCACAGATTCATGTCATCTCACACTACCCGCGTGAAGAGCGAATAAAAATACTTACGCTGCCTTCGAGCCTCCATCGATTTCTCGTAAGTTGATGATTTTCCCGTTGCTTTTTTTGCATGAACAGTCATCGATCTTGTCACAGGTCTCTTGGGAAATTCCCGTGAACTCCGCCGAAGAAAATATCCAGATAATAATGAGAACTTTTACTGTATTGATTTGCTTTCCTAGCATTATACACAACTTCAATCACCGACCAGAGGATAAGTACGTGAGCGTGAACATGGCCTTTCAACCCTCAATAGTTAAAGTTCAACTAATCCTTGTAAATCAGTGGCTAAGAGTCACATATAATTAGCATCTAAAGGAAGAAACTTGAGACAGCATTTTTTAAAAATTTATTCATGTCGGAAATCACGAGGATATTTACATAAGAAGTAATGTTAAAAAAAAATTAAAAGTGTTTTAAAAACACATCCGCAGTAAGTCATGCAATCGCCCATGCTATAAAATACCGGAAGTACCTGTTGCCTCCCCCAGGGGTACTCTAACAAACCTTTGGTATGTACCTAATTGTGCCAATAGGTCGTTAGTCTGGTCCTTTAGACATTCCCTTCAAAATGAAACTCTTTTCCGCTACAATTTTGTTCTTTACATATCGATGTTGTAAATCTCTTGATCTTGATTCCTGCTCAGCATTCAGGTTTTATCAGGTTATGACTTCACGAAACTAAAACAGTTTTGTTATCTATCATTTATTACCCCATTTTCTCTCTTCATTTTAAAAATTACCGCTCAATGTAAACACCAGTTTCTCATGGTTACCATCCTCATTCCCAGAGCTCTCCTTGGGGTAAGGTTGCATGGATACAGGATTATTCGCAGTCCGCCTTTTATCTTAAAATCCATCCTGTTTTCAGTTATCCCAGCCAGCGCGATTGCAAGTAATAACGTTACGTTACAATAAGGGATTTGAGGAGACAATTTTTTTTTTTCTCAGGCTTACGCCTTCGTGGTTTCGCCGCTTGTCGCTTTTAAAATACGTGCTTGGGTTATGCGCGGAGTAACTTTGTAAACAAAAGTAAAAGAATGCTCACGCTCGTGCCGGCAGAGAGGTGCTTGCCTGAAAAAATGCGTCTACTGTACTTTTATTTTGCAGTCAGAGCGAACTCAATACTGGGCAATTTTAGATTGCGAGGTTGGTTAACTTTAAAGGACTTCTTCTAATTGTTTATATCTCGCCATAGCCATTTTTACTACATTTCTGGCAGAGAGAAGTGCATCCAGACTTCAATCCTTGGCACGTCAACAAAACTCCATCCTGTGGAAATTGAATAAGAAATTAGAGTAGTTTTAAATCACTCTTTTCTTGACAAGACGTTTAGGTGCAAAATTTCTCTCTATCCACCTGAGCGTAATGTATACATATCTGACGTAATACCTGTACCAGCCACGATCAGCTTCCGCTAGGTTGACGGTAGAACTACTTACTTTATCTTTTTTTTTTTCTATGTAAATAGATCCATATCACAAACTATTGTGATCAATAACGTTAAAAAAAAATAGACGTAAAACCACTATATTACGAACTCCCGTATCACGAATAGCTTGTTTTTGTCTTAGTAATTAAGTGAAAAGATAACAGGAGTCAGATATAACATACCCTCGCAATAAGACGTTTTATCATGGTGTTATATATTAAGGGTTTTTTTTTCAACAGTCGGCACACTCTCCTTGGGTACTTCGACGTCACAAGACACCTAACAATGACCAATCTCTAAGAGGGTAACACTGAAAAATCTATGACGTCAGAAACAACTTATGTTAATTTTGTTTCCCTGAAATTCCAGTGTTTTCATTGGGCTGTTTTCTCGTTTAAAAGAGGATTCCATGAGAGCATCAGGACAAGAAATTTTATGTTATTGGAAATAGAGCCACGTTAGCGCTCGTATGAATAATGATAATAATAATAATAATTATAATAATAATGATAATGATAAAGATAATGATAATGATCACGACAATGACAATGATAATGATAATGGTGATAATAATATAATAGTGGAAACTTTATTTGTGTTTTTGAATGTACAATTGTAAATCTCGCTACGTATAGGCAATTTACAAATGCTGCTTGAGATTGGATGATTAAAAAAAACGAAGCAAAATTAAAAAACAAAAACAAAAACAAAAAAACAAACAAAGAAAAGAAAAGAAATAATAATAATACTAAAATAAAAAAATTGTCGTACAGACCTCGCTCGCCGAGGGAAAACGTTATTTCGTCATATATCAAATCAAAATACCGGCTTTACGGTATATATGGACCACCCAGGCAAATTATACCGTCAACTCTCTTACCACCCTTGGTGCACGAGAAAGTGGTCGCTTACGGGAGGTGGCCGGTCGTCTTCGGGAAAAATCAAGAAAATAAGCTCAAACTGAACTGATCACGGTAAAGTTATTATATAAAGCTATTATATACCTTACAGTTTCGCATCGAATAGCGCTGGGAACTGTTGAGACATTAATTACATTTTGCATGAATGTAACAATCCACTTTTTTACCCACAGATCGTATGACAGCCATCTTTGTGGTAAGTCAACTGCCATAATCATAAAAATACTGAACTTTTGTGACATTCGAGCAGTGGTTTTCTTACAATCATACGTGATCATGCCGGTTAGTCGCTCACGGCAGACAGAAAACAAAGGAATATGTCAAATTTCTGGCCTAAAAAGTGGTCGCGGGATCTGTTTAAGAAATTTAAGTAGTGGTCGCTTACGACAGAGTTTTTAAAACAGTATTTGACTGAGAAACAAAACCCTTACGGTTATTTACAAAGTGGTCGCTTACTAGAAGTGGTTGCTATGAGAGAGTTGACTGTACTTCGAAAGCGAATCCTTGAGATCTGACATCCGAAGTAATTTAGGAATTCAAGCTCCTGACATGTTAGACGTTTTAGCTTCTCTTTAACACTTCAGTATCCAGCATCAACTTCATGGTCAACTTCATTTGTAAATTCGGTTAGTAAGTAGTTTATTCATACACATAACACCTTAGAGCTTAAAATAGTGGATTTAATGTGTATACTCCGTTTTGACTAAGCCTGCGAGTAGAACCGCCTCTCATTATCATGGTCCCTGGAGGGTGGGCACGTGCAATGTCTTTAGCGACGAAGGGGAGCGATGAGAAGCGGCTGTGCTCGCATTCTACTTGTAGGTCTTGATAAGTAGTTCTCTAATTAGTTAAGCATTCTACTGTGCGACATTGCAGAGATTTAGAATCCATTTATGCGGCAAAAGGCAAATGGCAGTTTGTACCTCTTGATCTAGCCTCCCCCGCAGACGTCCTTTGGGGTTCGTTTGTCACGCATTCATTTCTCCCCACGGACGTCTGCTAAACACAGCCGACATTTACGTTCACCAATCACAGGCCGTTTACGGATTTTTGTAAAACGTAACCCGAGCTGCTTCTTTAAGATTCGCACGATCAGTGAGGTTTTTGATCGAGTCTGCGAGAAATTTGTAATTAATACAGAGTTAAACAAGTATCAGAGAGAAGCTATCCTGCAAATTTTATAACAAAGACCGAATTGTGTTCATAAATTTGCCGACGGGATTTGGCAAATCCCTTATCTATCAAGCTTTGCTGCTTGTTTGTGACACAGTGCGTGGAACTACTGGACATTATTGTTGTTGTTGTTTCTCCCCTGGTAAATCTTGAAAGATCAATGTACAAAGCTGGAAAATATTGGTATTCCTGCTGTAACGCTCAGTGATATTAGCAAAGAGAATATGAGGGTTGTCGAGAGAGGACTTTGTTGTTTACGGAAGCCCAGAAGCTTGGTTGAAGATTGATCGGTGGAGGAAATGTTAGCGAGTGACTTGTACAGTTAGTATGTGGTCCTTGGTCGGCGACTGTCCCGAGCATGATCAAATATTTCGTTGAGAAATAAAATACAATGAACAATGAAAGGTTCAATGATTTATTGATTATAAGCATTTCTTCTTTCTTTGAAGGAGCGAGATTAAACTTTGTTGACAGGTAGGTTAATTTGTCGTTCTAGCTTGAAGTTTGGACTTCGGCGGCACCGTGGTCCTGTTTACTTAGCTTGTGAATAAATAACCGCAACGGGAAGACGTGCCTTTCTGCAGATCAAGTTTTCAGATAAACCTTTTTTGCCGTTGGAAGCACATTGCTGTAGACTTCGAATTTTTGTTTTACCGACTCTTGAAAAAATATAACCAAATTTCGCGTACTGGTCCTTGGTCCGCGACCCATGACCTTGGTGGAATTACATTTCGCATAAAATGAAACGGCCTTTGTTTTCGAAGAATGCTTTGAATATCTTCCCTATACACGTTTACAAGTTCTCTTTTCTTAATACTTCGAATATATACAGAGTTAATAGTAATTATTGTTTTCGACCGCGCTGAAAACCGCTCCGCGCTCGTGTGGGAGACTGTTTTCTGAAGTCTTTCAAAGAAAAGCAGATTATTTTATAGTCACAACTTCCGAAAAAACTATACATCTGACTGCAGCTTTATTGTATCGTTTCTGTGATTTTTTCAAAACGTTTGAGTCAAATAAATAATTCACTTGAGAATACAAAGACACATCAACGTCCAGAGCACGTTTGATGAGCCTTGCGATGTCGACTGCGCTTTTTCTAAACACACGAACTTGGTCCTTTCCTAAATTACAGCTGCAAAGAAAACAAAAAAATTTACTTCTTATAACTTTCTTTGGAGTCTCATCCATGCATAGGCATGGAATAAATATTCCTCTAAAAAAGCGAGAAATAATTCGTAGGGTGCCGTTTCACTTATATCACAGCGCGTGATTGGCTGATCGTGACACAATAACTAACCGCTTATTGGCTTATTCAAACAATCCAGAACGTAAATGTCGGCTGTGTTTAGCAGACGTCCGTGGGGGAGAAATGAATGCGTGACAAACGAACCCCAAAGGACGTCTGCGGGGAGGCTAGTCCTTGGTTCGCGACCCATGACCTTGGTGGAATTACATTTCGCAAAAAAGGAAACGGCCTTTGTTTTCGAAGAATGCTTTGAATATCTTCCCTATACACGTTTACAAGTTCTCTTTTCTTAATACTTCGAATATATACAGAGTTAATAGTAATTATTGTTTTCGACCGCGCTGAAAACCGCTCCGCGCTCGTGTGGCAGACTGTTATCTGAAGTCTTTCAAAGAAAAGCAGATTATTTTATAGTCACAACTTCCGAAAAAAATATACAGCTGACTGCAGCTTTATTGCATCGTTTCTGTGATTTCTTCAAAACGTTTGAGTCGTCTCATGTAGAAGATAGCCGTGAAAATAAATAATTCACTTGAGAATACCAGAGACATCACTTATATCACGGCGCGTGATTGGCTGATCGTGACACAACAACTAACCGCTTATTGGCTTATTCAAACAATCCAGAACGCAAAAGTCGGCTCTGTTTAGCAGACGTCCGTGGGGGAGAAATGAATGCGTGACAAACGAACCCCAAAGGACGTCTGCGGGGAGGCTACTCTTGACCAAGTTTTTTTCTCTTCACTGATCGTTTACCGTCATTATTTCTACCGTAGCCTGAGTAAATAGCAGACATTTCGTTAGGAGAAACCAGTGCCGGGAGACGAGTGCAAAAATTCCATACTGATGACGCGTCACTACCCAGATCTGAGTAGTTCCTCTGATTGGCTGAAGCGAATTCTCCACTTGCACTACCAATCAGAGGCACTATACGTACCCAGATCTGGGTGGTGACGCGTCCTCAGTATGCGCTCGTTTCGCAGACGTCATTTCGCGGGGAAACCAGAAGTGGAGTTGCGAAATGTCGGCTGTTTTCACAGTCTATTTCTGCACTAAAAAAACTGTTGCATGTCACTTACAGTAGCTTTCATATATAAGAATTGTTTGAGACCGTTTCTATCCTCTCATTACCTAATTTTAATTTTTAAAAAATGTCGGTTTGAGTCTAACGTTTGTCGCCTGCCGTAAACGCGATTCCAAATTTCTTTAATGTTGGATTGTTTACCGTGGCTCTACAAAAGACATCACGATATGGCACGTCTCACCTTAACAAGTGATGGAATTCCAGCCTAGAACTCGTAATTAGGTATCACCTCTGGTACGGTCTCAACTTCCATTTTGTACCATTTAATGAGAATTCCAGCCACCAAATAAACAAAGAGTAACACAAAGAATCTGGAAAAAAATGTATATGTAAGACTGATACAGTTAATAAACAAATTTTATGTTACAAATGGAACGGGCCCCAAAATATACCTCCTTAAGGGAGGAATACGTTGAAAACTTGGTTTGACGTAGTCTCCTTTGGAGCCGTTATAAGGGTCGTCACGCAACGCTCCTCCCCACCAACGGCGTTAATGGGGAGGAGCGTTGCGTGACGACCCTAATAACGGCTGCGAAGGAGACTAGGGTTGACGGTGTAGTATCAAGTCTCAGTCTGTTCAAACGTGTTTTAACCAGCACCACGAAACATTTTGTCTGTTCTTAGCTGGGATTCGTTACGTGAAAACTTGAACAGCTCAACCAATAATAAACTGGATAAGTGTATGCCTTATTATCTTAATTAATGATGATGATGATGATGACGACGATAATGATAATTATGATGATGATAATACCAGGAAAATTTGCACAACAACAGAAGATATACAGGAAGGAGTTTTCTTCATTGTCCTTGACAACACACCTTAATGTTGTTGATTTAAGGGCTAATAGCATTGTTTGGGTCGATCATTCATCTGTTATCATGTCGTTAGAAAAACTCCGCCGTTCTGAAAGCGTCATAACACCTCTTGAATACTATGAAAGAGGCTTGGGCTTTTCACTGACGTTCCACTAGATTTCCACTTTGCATGAACAATAAGCTAAGTGGGGTTTCCCATGCTGCTAACATGTTGGACGATATTTAATTGGTTCGTTCAAAAACCCCACCGAATCCGTTGAAATCTGTTTTTATGCAAATATTATCCATAGCCTGGGTCCGAACAATATGTCCTGCAGCTTTGGAATGATGAAATTGACACTCATACCCACCTAATGCGAAGTAAAATTAGCAGTTTAACGTAAATGTAAGTATGATATCTCGCTATCCTTGACTGGCAACAAATTTTTGAATTTTATTGATGGGAATACAGGTCGCATTAACATTTTTTATAGAAAGCTACTCTCCATGAGCAGATTTATCTCTGCCTGAATACGAGACCATGCATTACAAAGCAAAATCACGTCATTATAGCACATCTTTCTTCATTACTTAGTTGCGGCAATCACTTTTGAAAGGATGAGCATTATCGGTTACTTACACTATTAATATAATACTTCCAGTACTGAGTCCATTGCTGTTTTGAGCAGGATTATCGTTATTAGAGGCACAAGCGTCATCACACGCGCATTTTGTAGAAAACACCATACTCTGTAATTGAAAACAAAAGTCAGTTAAGTTTATAACTGTGAAATGCTTTACTGTATTATATCCCACATACATTTACGAAAGAAAATACTAAAGCTAAGATAAACATGTGCTGATTCGATCGTGTGTGATAAATTATGTTAGAAGAAATGCGGGCTGTCTAGACAGTACAATTTTAAAATGGTTTTGAAAAGACCAGGGGAGTGAATTCTGCAGTCAACTGCCAAATTCAGAAAAAAAATGAAATGGTGTTTTAATTACAGCATATATTGTCTCGGGTGAATTTTGTCGCATACAAATAACTATTTTGTCTTTCTACAAGTAACTGAACAGCCTATGAAAAACTCCAAACACCCTGCTTTTCCACGAACTTAGCCTGACTATCACGTGTTTCTGAGGAGAAAGGAAAATTAGTAAACAAAAATGGGACACAGTGAATTCAAGGTACGTTGATTTGACATTCACGTGGGCATGCGCAGTATATGTTTTTGGTAGGTCAACCGCTGTTCAAACAAACCGTTTCACAGGTTGTTGTACGGTTTCCAGGATACTGCATACATTGCGCATACGTAGTTGACAATTTTCTTTGTTTTGAGTTGCCTTAAAATACTATGGTGTTAGCATTCTCCTCTTCAGCAGCACTTTAACATGATACTATATGTTTAATATGTAGCCAGCTTTTCATAGCCACTATACTCCACAGAGCTGGTTCAAATATGACCGCCTCAAAGTAAATGGTTTTTTTATTTTAAAATAAAGCTAACTATCATTCATACATATTTTGAATCTTTGTATGTGTAATCTTCTGTAACACCATCTGTGTAGCCTGGAAACTTGCTAGGATCACATTTTAGAGTAATTTTGAAGGTCCTGAAATAAAATAAATAATTTTAAACATCACTGGGTAAATTGTCTACTCTAATCTTCACGTCAAGTCAGTGTTTCGGTTGAAACGAAACTCAGCAAGTCAAATCAAACACTACAGTTTCATTACAAATTCACGCCGATATTCATATGAACATCTTGGTATTTGTGTGATGACGTGTTCCACAGTATTAACATGCACATCCTTTTTATTTTGTTTATGAATTAATTTATACCAAGATTTCATCATGAATTGCACAGCAAGAATCTACTCTCCGGCAAAATTGAGCAGCATAATTGGTGATAATTATGTTATACATAACAAGAGAGGATAAAGGGGACAGAGAAGGCATCCCCCATACACACCCTATTCCATAGGTAATTTGCCTCGAGTTATTTTTAAGACACACAGATCCCAAGGGGGATGAGGCAACAGCCAATCACATAGCGCGAATGTGTTCCGCGTGGATGACCCACGCTCAGAGCTACGCGTTCTTCACGAATTGACGCAGAAAAAATGGCGGAAGACTCGGAGAGCGATATATTTCTATTCGTTTTGTCGAAGAAAACGACTAAAGAGAGATTTCTGCTAAAGCGGTGTCTGCGAAATGGAAATTAAAAAGAATCGCCCTTCCTCTCTTGTATAGAGCTTACAGTACAGCTGGGAAATCCTTAACACGCTGAATTAATCTCTCAGGATCATTTATAATTTACAATTTGAAGAGAGCAATTTCTGGTTTGATATTTATTTTTAATTTTATTAGGCTTTTATTATTCAACAAAAATAACACTTGGCGTCCAACTTGCTTTATTGTACAAACGACCGGTTTCAATAGACCGGCGAAATTTCTCATTTTATTAAAGCACTGAGGTTACGACAACTTCGAGTTAAACTGATTTCACAGGCTGTCAAAGAGTCCAGCGATACCCTTTTCCCAGGTGAGCGCCGACTCATTTCGTTTTAATATTCATAAATGCTCTCGATCTCTTTACGCTTTCATTGCCTTTCGCCCGACATGTTTTGCACGGCGTTTAGTCATGCGAAACCTCCACGAAACATCCACGCAGCGCGCGAGGTAACTTTATCCTGATTCTAATAATAAGGGACGGACCATTAGAAAAGTGATGAGGTGGGGGGGAAACAAAAAAGAATTCATGCAAGGGAAAATGCCAACAAAAAAAATTCATGCAAAGAAGGAGGTAAAGAAAAAAATTCATGCAGAAGGAAGGTCCAATTGTGACTTTTTCAGAAAGTCTGAGTTTCAGAAATCAACAATCTTACCAGGCACAATATGAATAAACAAAAATCACTTTCTTCTTACTGAAAGGAGACAATTAGAACCTTGTTTTTGTTTTAAATTGCAGCTAGTGTACCTACAACATACACTGTATACCGTATTATAATGAAAATAATAAAATAAAATTTGTAATAAATAAATATTAGAATCTGGTAAATAAATAGTGACAGGCCATTCACAGATGTCGCAAGCGTGGTGCATGAATGTAATTACTTATCTACACGTAGTGTTAAAGAGATTAACTACAGTTTGGCTCTAACCAGTATATCTCTTAATGAAATGCCTCTCTTATAAGAAATAATTGGAGGTTCTTTAAACATTTCTTTAAGTTTAGGTTGTGATTCTATAAGATGCCATTTCTCCATTAAAAATTATGTGTTTAAGGTAGGCACAAATGGGTTGTATTGCGTTACAAAGGGCAATATTTCTTTTTGCACTCTTGTATTATCCTTAAGAGCTTTCTTTCTGTGAGAGAATTTTACTTCCGAGAGTGTTTTGTCTATAAGGTTGTTCGGGTAGCCTCTCCTTCGAAGGCGTAGTTTGAATATTCTTATATTTTCTACGAGAGTCTCCTCTGAAGAGTTAGTTCTTAGTAGTCTCAGGCCTTCACCTTTTACGAAGCCTTTTTTTTTTCCGGGTGGGGACATGGTAAATAAATAGTGACAGGCCATTCACACGCTTGTGGGATCTGTGAATGGCCTGTCACTACTTATTTACCATACTAACTCTTCAGAAGAGACTTTCGTAGAAAACATAAGAATATTCAAACTACGCCTTCGATATACTGGTTAGAGCCAAACTGTAGTTAATCTCTTTAACCGCTACGTGTAGATAAGTAATTACATTCATGCGACACGCTTGCGGGATCTGTGAATGGCCTGTCACTATTTATTTACCATTGGCTGTGGGAGAGGAATTCCAGAGGGCAGGGACTGAAAAAATGCACAGTGAAGCCGTCCACTCCAAGTGGCTTCCTCCTCTCTCACTGTGTGTACATTTTCGAAAAGATTTTGCATTAAAGTGGCCTGTATCCTTTGATCTTTTGTGAGTGTAGAATAATTTATAAAGCACAAAAACATAGATAATGAATCAAGATTTAACTGTTCAAAAAAAGCAATTTTTGTCTGAAAAAAAAAATTCGTTCAGAGGGGTTCACCTGAAAAAAAAATTCCTGCACAAGCAGTGAGCGAAAAAAAAAAAAATTCGTGCAAGCTGAAAATTCCCCACCCCCCCCCATCACTTTTCTAATGGTCCGTCCCTAAGTAACACTTATATAGCGCTACTCTGTAAAGTTCATTAGCGCTTTACAATAAAATTATAGTTATGTAGAATTATTGCCCCCGCAGGGATTTCGCCCAGAGGGGAAATCCCGAGGAGGCACCCTAGTAACTTGCGCGTATATTAAGGACAGTACTTACAGTTCAAATATACAGTCAGTATACTAGAAAAAATCTCGATTTGCTCGAACTGGGGCCGCGAGGAATCGGTAGGTAATGATGACGTTTCTATTGCTTGCGCCCGCAAGTATGAAATGGTTAGGATGACGTAACGACAGAAAATCCCGAAGGGACCGCTCAGGTTGATTTTGTGACATTAGAGAGTTTTAGATCCGAGTTTACCGCAAACCTCTAACCGCGGTTTGCGGTTACCCGTCTGCGGTTCGACGGTCAAACAAAATTCGATTTAGATTGGCGGTGGATTAAATTAAGGCCGCCATTTTGAATCAGCAGCCATAAATGGCACTTGTTTTCAAGATCCAATAGGATTTATAAAATTTTGCATTTCGCCCGAATTTGTGCCTCTGTGAATGGATAAAGACTTGCTTCTCAAGATTTTTGTATCATTACGTGGGATGAAACAAGAATTATACGCTAAAAGTGTTCAGGTAAATGACATACGTGAAACCCTATCTCCCCACGTTGAAAACGCACGACGTAAACCTCAAACGTGAAGCGAAAGACTTGTCACGTGACCTCCAGCGGTTAGCGGTTCGCGGTAAACTCGGATCTAAAACTCTCTATTTATTGTGCAGTCATACTTCGATACTATTTTGCGTTACGCAGTGACATTCTGTGGAGCAGTTGCTTTGAAAGTTATGGACCAAAAGACACTCGTTAAGCGCAGGGGAGGTTATAAGGTGCGTTTAACAGTGTAGATATATAAACAATTGGAGAGTTTGCCAGAAACGAGTTCACAAATCTTTGATTTATATTGGAAACCTTGCCAGACACTCTTTCTCTCTCTTTGACCGGAATAAGACTCAGCCCCAAACAAGCAAGACGAGTGAACAACGGCTATCACTAGCAGATTGATTGACATTTACAGAAATTCGCCGACAATCAAATTCTGTGTTGACTTATTCCCTGCTCACAGATGTCCTTCCGTTATAAAGTTTCAAATAAGACTAGAATGCGCTAGCATAAATCGATCGAACGTCTTTTAATTTCTAAGGCTTACTTTCCAGCAAATAATATGAACTGAATGTAAAAAGGGAAAGAGAAATAGCGAAAAATTCAACTTCTAATTAAATCTTTTCTTATGGTTTCGAATAAACTATTCTCGAAACTGAGAATGTTTTGATCAAAGCTGTGTAAATCGAGCTGAAACTGTGCATGGAACCTTGCGTTTCATGTATTTATCTCACCTATTGTATGGAATATGTGTGAAAATCTTCATTATGAATCGGTATATTTCAAAGAGCTACACAACCAGCAAGAATACTATTGACCGACAACATACAAAACGGGGGCAGCTGTAGTGTCAACTATTACTAGTTAAAAAATAAATGTATAAGTAAATCAGCAATAGAAAATTTACATGTTAAAAAACTATTTTAAATAAATGTGTTTTAAGTTTTTTCTCAAAAGAGGTTATAGAAAATTTTGAATGGTCTCTAAGCCTACGTGGGAGAGAATTCCACAAAATGGGTGCTGCAACTGAAAATACTCTGAGACCATAACTTTTCGGGTGGGATTGCTCATGTGCTAAGTAGTGTTTTGAGGTTGATCGCAGACTGCGGTTTGGTGTATGAGAGTGAATTAAATCTTTAAGATAAGCAGCAACAGTGTCATTTAGACATTTAAAAGTCATCAGCATCCAGTAGGATTTTATTTTGGATCCTGAACCGCAACAGGTAGCCTGTGTAGTAGTTTTAGCACAGGTTTAATAAAACAACGTTGCAGCCATGATGGCCCGAAATTACTTTAAACTTGCTAACTTCAAACTTGGTGCTAAATTACCTTTTGTAGGAAGTGGCCTTCTCAATGGTTGGCTCATAATTTATGACGGTATTTCCATCGGTGTCTGATTCAAAACTAGCAACAGAGTTAGCGCATGGATGGGTTTCCTGTGCATTCGGAAGCGTCTGACAAATCTAAGTGGGAAAATGAAGGAAGTTGTTAGGTGATAGTTTTCCAGTCAACTCGAGTTATTGCGGGTCCACACACTCTAGACCGTGAGCTGACGTCTTAAATCCTCAGAGTTATGAGCGTCTATAAGTGAAGTGAAAAGTTATAAGTAAACAATTTGTGATAAGAAATCCTCCTTAAACTAAATATCATAATAAAGAATCAAAGAAGCTGGGAAACAAGCCGTCCAAATTAGATTTAATTGAATTCTTCGACTTCGGCATTTACGCAGATCCTCGGCTAATTGATTGCAAATAAATGCACCATTATAAAACCCAATTGCTTTTTTTCGTCATATAGTCAGCAGCTCCCGTTATTGCGGACACCCTCGGGACCGCGGTTTAGTGTCCGTAATAGTGGGGAGCGCGCAAAAAAATTTCTTGAAATTAGAGGGATTACATATATTTATGTTGTAATTGCAGCGCAATTTTTGCATATAAAGAACTTTAAAGTTGAAACTCGCAAAGAAATCTGGATACACTCGTCCAACGTTGTTTTGTGGGATGAGAGGAGTGGTTGGGCCTGTGTGAATTGGAAAACGCCCAAGAAATGCAAAAGTGTCCCAAGACTTTTGTCTATGATTATAGTTCTGAGTCCAGACCCTCCCAAACAACGTTGCAATAACGGCTGGATAAAAGACGGTTGTCCATTGTCTGGAGGGTCGACAGGTGAACAAACTGTCTCACAAGTGTAAGAGCTCCAACTGCGCTGATTAATTTTTAAATGTCTCTTCTATATGTGTTGCCCATGTAAGCGCCTGATCGAATGTACACCCAGGGTTTTGGTAGATGTTACTTTAGGTACATTGGCGTCTCCAGTGATGGTCAAGACATACGAGAAGAACTCTGTCTAGATCCTACAGACAAATTTTGCTGATTTTGCTGTGTTCAGACTCAATCTCTATTCATCTTAAATTTGATTTCATCACTGAATTTTTTAAGAGGGTCTCAATAGGGTGGTGGCAATTACGGTTATCGGCTAAAATTTTGGCTCTTTTACGGCTATCGGTTAATTTTTTTCAGTTACGGTTAACTATAAAGTTAAAAATTAATTTCTTTGTTTCAAAGAGTTAAATATTAATAAACCTGTATTTTTTTGTATCTTTAAAGCAAAATATATGTCTTAGGATCATCTCGGGATGAAATGAGTCCTTCTTCTGAAAAATGTTTTAATTTCATGAATCATGCTTTTAGAGTTAATTCCACTTCTAATGTCATTTTACGCATAGAAATGTTAACTATGAAAACGTTTGTCATCTTTTGCATCTTGGCGTGATTTCCTTTTCTTCAGGGGCTACTGATTCGTTCTTCGCGTCGCTTTGTATTTGCTACCCTCCTCTCTTTTTACTAGGGTCTTTACCCCACTGAAGAACGGCTTGTACAAAAAACTAAAAAAGAACAAGCATACAGATTGAGACTCGAACATTTCTGTGACTCTCACATTTACAAGTGTCGCAGCCAAGCTGAGAAGTACGCGGCTTTGAAGATCTTTGCCGCAGTTTTCTCATTCTCTTAAAATGAGATGAACTCTTTGTTTAAAATAGAAACAAAAGGTTAAGCTATTGCCAGTCAACTAAAATTTTTCGTGAGCCATGAAAAGGACCATTCCTAATAAAAGACAGACAAGACATAACAGTTTATTTGAGTAGAATCTTCGTGAAAAGCAAAACTAGCAGAAAAGGGAACGTAAAGAGCCGATTGAAAGTAGTCGCGAAATAAGAATCACAACCGTTCTAGGTGAGTTTAGCACCTTCCTCAAATTATCAAATCTAAGGAGCAAAATTTTTTTACGGTTAACTCTTTTTACCGTACTTACGACTAACGGTTAAAATTTTTCAATTTTTACGGCTATCGACTAAATTTTGGGCCGTTTTACGCCTATCAGCTAACCCCATTGAGACCCTCTTTTAAGAACTTGTTACATGAAGCTAAAATTATCACTTTGACCCTCTATCTTAATTATAAGAAATAATAACTTGAGAGGCTAATTTACAGAAATGCGAAACACACACTTACCAACATGTCTGTGCAGCTACTTCCTTCAGTAAACGTCGTGCAAGGATTCCAGTCGAACTCATATATTGTACCAGGCGGATAGATAGTTTTAATTCCTTTAATGCTTAAACATAAAAAAAAAGAAAACAGAATCAGCAAAAATCTGGGAGTATAAACTCCATCTTAAGCGGTCCATATAAGAAGCACCCATAAAACAAGTTGTAAATTCAGTATGTTTCAGGATACTGTATTGGTTAATTTCTTTAGGGGAAACGAAAGCGTTTTCCTTCTCTTTCAAATCCACATACCAAGCTCAATTCAACCAAATATTCTGTAGCAGTTCCCATTTTATATAATTAAACCTTTGTATTACATGCTCCCCCCCGGGGGGGGGACGTACTTCCTATAACGGCCTATGCGGGGAGGCTCATCCCGAAAGAGGACCTTTTTCAGGCTTCATTTAAATGAATAGCCTGCGAACGACAGACGTTTCTTCTCGCTCATCGCCGCTGAAGGACGTTCGTCTGCGACTCCGCGACAGAAATTCCATACTGATGACGTAAATCAATCAGCTTACATAATAAATCCGGTAGCTAAAACAACAATCCGTCCACCAATTAGCGCTTCTGACCGGATTCCGGGCAGATTTTGCGTCATCAGTATGGAATTTCTGTCGCTCAGTCGCAGACGTTCCTCCTCAAGAAACGTCCTTCAGCGGCGATGAGCGAGGAGAAACGTCTGCCGTTCGCAGGCTATTAAATGAAAGGGTAGGGAATTCAGCGGAGGAAAATCTGACATTTCTGTTAACAAGGTTGAGATTACCCACTTCTTTATTTTTGCAGAAATCACGTCCGATATCTGATTGGACGGTCAACAGTTAATAAAAACAAAGGTTTCTATTCCGCGTGTCACCGGGAAATTTCCGCGTTCAGGATCGAACGTTACGTCAACGACACGCTTTTTTGATTTCGATACGCATGGGTTATTAGACTGGACGTTTTTAAAGGCCAAATATTGTGCCAATCTAGCGAGAAGTTTAGCAGGTAAGCAATTGAAAGATTAATTCACACCGATAAACACTTTAGACCTCACACTCACTTAAAACAAACTGATTTATACCCGCATAGTCAGTCGGCTACTTGGCTAGGTCAGCTGTACACAGCAAAGAAGGCGCTTGGTTTGTTAATTATATACCAATTAAAAGCACCCTAACAATCCAGAGGCAATTAATCGATAAAAATCGATATCTGAAATCAAGCGATATTATGGATATTAATCGATTTAATCCGCCGATTAATATCGTTTGATATCGGAAAAAGATAGAAATCGCCGTCACAGAAAAAATAATTTATCGATTATTATCGATTAACAAAATCGATTAAGATTGATATGAATCGATAGTAATCTGTAACTATCGATAAATAAGTCATCATCGATTTCTATCGGAAAATCATCGACATTAATCGAAGTCACAACTTTTTCTTTATCGATTTCTATCGATCGATATAGGAAATCGATATTCATCGATGATCGACATCGATTACTATCGATTAATATCGTTTATCGTTTTATCGATTAACTACGTCTGGTGCACACAGGACCTGCACACTACCTGAGGAAGCCAAACTTTCAGTCACAAAAGGGGTCAATAACGGGGGTCACCAGTCGATGCCACCATATCACGTATCAGTAAATCAGTACATGAAAATTTATCACAAACACGCAGGAAAAAGTAATCTAGGACGGAGCATAATAAAGAAAAACTGAACTTGTCTTTCTTCCCAATCGAAATGGTTCAAAATTTTTCTTCAATTACCATATAAGCTTAAAAGCGGCATCTGTTTATACGATTCTCTGTTCGAGCGACAGAAAAGTAAGTTAACGCAAGACTGAAGTAACCCCATCCCACTTATTTCATGGAGTTTGAACAAAACTTGAGCATTCAAAGGGAGCTACTTTGGAATCGACAGTACATTTCAATAGCTTTAAGTTTTTGCTTATTTTTAAATGGTTTAAACGTTACTATAGTTGACTCACGCAGGTCCCTTTGCACCTCCAGCGACGTCTCTCAGACTTATAACTTTCCCGTTGCTTTTTCTGCACGAACAGACGTCGATCTTTTCACATGTTTCCGCAAAAATCCCGACAAAATTGAACGTGAAAAGAAACCAGACGATAACGGAAAATTTTGCTTGACTGCTATGTTTCCTCTCCATGTGGTAAAATTCCTGGAAGCTCTAAAACATCAAACAACAAGGGAAGTTTTGATCCTCGTCGCGTGACCTCTAACAGGATAGGGATATTGGGGACAGGACAACTGACAAGACATATGAAAAAAAAATGTGTTCTCTGGCGTTCCCGTATGTCATGATTTTAAGGGGGTCCTAAAGGGTAAAATGAGAACTGGGATTTGGGTCACTTGGACTAAGATTGTGGGGGGGGCGGAGGAATCGTTCCACCCACGTTTGAAGGCAAAATTGAAACTATTGTGGGGGTGTGTTCGAGCAACTCGATCGCTACACGATGAGGTACCAGTGATTTACATCTTGGCCTTTATTCTTCTTTGACTTCTGCTAACAATGTTAATCTTCCTACTCTTCTAACTCTTTTCTACTTTTCTACTCTTCTCTACTTACTAGTTCAAGTATAGTAGCGGTTTTTATAGCCAAAGCTGGACATGTTTGGGTTAGCTGACCGCGAGGCCTTCAGCATTGAATATCTTATCGCTAACATTGCAACAGGTTTGCTATTGTTAGGGAATAGATTAGCCTTCGCACAGTCGCAACTGACAAGTGCCAAAGAACCAAGGCCAGCAGCTCTAACACCACAAACACGACCATCTGTAAAAACTAACTGACAATGCCAAGCGAATAACATTCCTAATATGGCAATTAGCAAATTCACGAGCTAAGCATAATTTCAAGTACAAGTAAAAAAAAAAGATCAAAACAGGAAAACAGTACGTGGACAAAAACAAGACTTAAAACAAAAACAAAAACAAAACAAAAACTAAACTTAAAAGATAAGATAGATCCGTCTTAAAAATAACTTTCAAAATACTTCACAACACTATTAAAGACAATGCAGCGTAACCTGATGTTAATCTCTTCTGTGACAGAAATATATAACTCTTACTCTATGTGATGTGTGCTATAAGACCCTATAACAACTGACAGATATTACAGAAAGTGTTATCAAGCAGATTAGAGACCAGATGCTGCCTTGAATGGAAAAGAACAAAGAAACACATCCCACTGAATGAAACAAAATAGATCTGAAGCTAACAGAATAAGAAAGAAAAGCCAAAAGAAAAAAGGAGGAAGATGTGAAAGACAGAAAAATGAGCTTGTGTAGCTAGATGATATGGCAATATAGATGGTAAATATGACCCTGAACTGTAAGGTGCTCACAAAATTGAGAACGTTGATTTGTAACAACTTTTCAATGAGTTATTACTTCCCTAACTGATAAAGCTTACTCAGTTTGGAGAGTTTCTAATATGCAACTGCTTTCATACAGCAGCTGAGACAGCTGTTCAGGAGTTTTTATGCAAACGAGCTTGACGAGAACGCGGAAAATGGATAGGGCCGACAAAAGGGAACGTGGTTTAACATGTACGATAATCAGCTGTAAGTCCCTCTGTTGCACTTCGCACTTTCTATATTTATAGTTTTAAAAACTTTGCTGCCTGAATAAGTATTTTCCAATATTTAAACCTAAATGTACGATAAATTGTTGTTAAAAATGAGATATCACCTCGTCTTTCCATCAAATAATTTATACACACTGCTCCCCCTCTTGGTGTGATATATAAAAATTATTCACCGAAGTGGAGGCGACAATTGGATATTTACCGAGACGCGAAGCGGCGAGGTAAATTCCACCACTAGCCACCGACACTGAGGTGAATAATTGTTTTAGTATATACTAAAGCAGTGAGATAATTGAGCACAACAAGTGCAGGATATTCACTGAGTGAGTAGCCAATCAGAGCCCGCGAAAAACTCTATCCACTGTTTTAGTATATACTAAATAGATTTAGCCAGGGTTAAAAGCGAAGCTTTCGATAATAGTTATAGTTTGTTCAAACAAAATATAAAATCGCGTAATGCTAAGCGGTGAAGGCAACGCCGGAGAACGGTGAAAAATAACAATAGGTTAATTAGCATAAAAGCAACTTTGCATGTTCAGCACACTTTATTTGTACATTTCTTTGCCGTGGTTTTGCGCGACTACAACGTGACACACGTTTGGAGGAAATTTCGTACGTGTTCGTTCATAGCGTGCGTAGCAAGCGTTTCCGTGCGGTTTAGAAGCAAAGAACGAGGAACGAGAGTCAAAGACCGCGCGAAAAATGGCACAAGTAAAAGAGCGGAGAGGGGGTGAGGAAGAAAGGAAGGAAACGCTTGCAGAGAAACCCCGGGATTTTGAAAACCGCCCACTTGGCCTGTCATGCCTGGGTGCGCGCACCGACATATAATGCTGCCAACAGCTGTCATAATTGACCAATAAAATAATTGACCTTCGTGGAGCGCAAAAGAGGACGCGTGTGTGAAACCAAAATAATTTTCCATGTATTTTGGAACTCGTTAATGGTGACCTCTGAATGAATCCGAACGATCATTGCTTAATCAGCAATCTTGACTGAGTCACAATGCAGTTCTCCATAGTTGCAATCCATTCTTCGAATTCCATTCTTCGAATATTTGAATCTGTAAATCACTATCTGAGAGAAAAAAAAACACCTACGACCTGGGCCCAGCATGACAAAACATTGCAGAAACTATCGCATTTGCTGACAAAAGAAAATCGATTTTAGTTATTCAGATCCAAGAGGTACTTTGGAGAATAAATTAAACGACCTGATACCCTTATTTAGTCGCAAGAAGGGTTTTGCGTTTAAAAGAAGGAGAGTAAATCTTGCCGACCAGACTTAACAACAATCACAGCGTGCGTGTCACGTACCACAAATGACCTCTCAGTATGACACAAACCTTTGATCGGCACATACAATATTCTTCGACTAGCCGAGTCAATCAGTCGCTGCCAGCGAACGCAGGTTTTCAAAATCGAGGGGTTTATTTGCAAGCGTTTCCTTCCTTCCCCTCCCCTCCCCCCTCTTTCATTTTTTGGCTCTCATTTCATTTCTCGCGCGGCCAAAACCGGTCTTTCTTTGCTCCGAAACCAAATGGAAACGCTTTCCAGTACGCAGGCTATCTCGTTTACTTTTTTTCCACTGCCGCTCATTTTCACTTCGCATTGGTGACCGCTAGCATTTCTCATTTTGTCACCGCGGCCACAAAATTTTCATGTTACTCTTCCAACGAAAAAATGTCTCTTTTGTTTTTTATCTCTTGCTCTAGATCTCTGTCGCCCTTTTTCTCGTTGAGCTTCCCTGGCCGCCGCTTACTTTCACTTTTTCTCTGTCCTTCTCTTGCTCTATATTCCAAATTTGTGGACGATGAATCGAAGGTTAATACTTTAGACAACACGGACACAGAAACAATTTCCGCTTTCCGTTTTCGTCTTTATTTACTCTTTAGTACGTGATTTCCCGCCAAAATAACCGCGAGTTGCATTTGGGTCGCCATACCTGTTGATTGAGTTGTCTTACAATGGTATGCCTGTGGTGCGGACGGACGGACGGTCGGGCGGGCGTACGGTCACGTGATTACCAAATTTTATCGGAGGGGTAGATTACTTCATTTTCTTACCGATGGTGCTCCGCTGCGCCCGCTTCGCGCGCGAGAGCTCCTCTTCCACTTGACATTCTTTCTCCTCTTCCCATTTTTATAACCTCCCCTTTAGATAATTATCCACAGTCCCTAAGTATACCGTTTAAGTACTATTCAAAAGGCTCCAATCTGTCTTCGAAAAACCTAACTAGTTTCTGTTCATTGTTAGTGGATACTTATTTAGCCTAAAGCCAGTAACTTTCCAGTTGCTCAGTTTTGGCACGAACAGTTGTCGATCCTTTCACATGTTTCCGCAAGAGTCGAGCCGAGGGTTCACAAAAGAAATCTTACAGAAAAGGGAAAATTTTGCTGCCCTGCACTGTTCGCTATCCATCGAGTAAGAGTTTATAAACCGGTCAAGCAGCCAAAGAAAAATCACGTTTTAATCCAGTCTTGCATGCGTGACCTCCTCTTCCCGGGTTTGTTTGGGTAGCGCAACCTTGTCAGTTTCATATACCGGGAAAAACCCGATCGTATGGAATAGCCGGATCGGAACCAGCCTCCCACCCAGACTTTCTTAGGGGATCGTCATGCGTTCCTGCCTCACAAACGTCTGCTGCCTCGAGCGGTAAGAAACGTAGACCAATCACAGCAGACTTCCAGATCCGCCATGGGAAGTGCACTTTGGACCTTGACTAGAAATTTCTCGCAAGACTCAGCTCCAAAAAAGATTAGAAAGCTCTTGCAAGGTGAAGACCTTATAGTTTAAACTACTCAGTTAACTCACACGCCTTCGTAGTAGAGACAGCCCTCACGATCTCATTGAAGAAATTACTTCGCAGGTTTAATTTGCTGAACGGAAGTCGGCCACTACAAAGTAATAAAGTGCGAAAAAAAATTCTGCCTTTTGTTCAGTTACAACGTACAACCCCGCCGTTGCTTCACCCACAGAACAACTTGATGAGCAAATGACATCTTATCCACCCTTTACAAAAAGAAATATACAAGACGCCAACGCTTATCTCCTAAATATTCTTGTCCGAAGCTAAACTCTTTGGTCAAGTAATTCTCTTAAAAATTCTGTGGTTTTACCGTTTAACTCCTCTCTCTATATAAACTATGAGAAAGATCGCATCTATATCGAACCACGTTGTCAGACCCACGTAGACCCGGTCACCCGGATCGTACAAAAAAGCCGCAAAAAACTTGACGCTTCCGGTTTAAATTCGTCACCACTCCCAGGCGAAGATAAAATTCCCCACTCCTCTGGGCACATACAGGGGTATACATGGTATAGAGTGTTTTCTCATGACGTCACGGCGGCCATATTGGTGTCCCAAAACAATAAAACGGCGGCCATGTTGGTGTCCCAAACCAGTTCTGTGGGAGTTGAACTCCTTTCTTATGCAAACGCTTTCTTTTGTTCCAAAAAATTTGCATAGATGCTAGCCACGTGAGTGAAACCACTCTATACATGATGTATATTAAAGGATATGTGACTGGTTTGTGACTTAGTATATTTCTTTAAGAGATATGATAATAGGGAGTCTATATGGGGACTACCATGAATTAGTAGCCGGCGTAGGGGTGTTTAAGTTTGCATTTGGCCCGTGATCCTCGTTATTGTCGTGACTCTCGTATGGCCAGTCGAAAAATTACTGATATTTCAGCTGATTCACAGGATTGAATCATTCTGCTCGTGACTCTGGCGGTTCTCGTGATTTTCGTATGGCCCATGAACTTCTATTGTCATATCAGCTGATCATTTCCGGGCTGATTCACTGGATGAAGGTATAAAACAACAGGGCGAACAGGGCAGGATGGTGGAAGAGCTGACTGATCGTGATAGCTCTGAAATGCCTTGTGGCTATGATGAGGACTTTGTGAGTCCTATTGACGAAGATCTGCAATGTTCAATTTGTTATTTGCCTTTACGAGAACCGGTTCTCAGCAGATGTGGTCACAGATTCTGCAGGGAATGTCTCGACCGACACATTGCGAGGTTTGTTACTCTTCTTTTTTTTTCGCTTAAAAAGAAAAAAATAAATAAATAAACCCCCAATAAATTGGTGCTCTGTGGATCGAGAATTAATGTTTCCTTCGGGTCAGTGGTTTTGTTAGGGGCAAATGCAGTAGCTCGAGATGAAAATATTGCGGTTTATGTTTACCCCCGGGGGGCACTCGTGGGAAGTCGGGTAGAGCTGTGCCGCCGAGGCCTTCATCTCTCGACCCTGTTTAAGACAAAAAATTACAGAGGACGCTACTTTCTAACCCTGATTTGTTTTGTTTTGCTTTGCATACAGAATTAAGCAATTTTTCGCACTAAAATCGTGGAAAGAGTTATTTAGGAAAAAGAAATATTGGTATTGCAAATGTCGACCGCTCATGCTCATCTTAAGTTTTCACACTCTTTGAAAGGCTTTTAGTCCAAAAAGACACTCTGTGACCCTTAATAGTGTATAAAAAACTTTCAAATCCCTACCCTGTTTTGCAGCACATACCCGTATCGGCCAAATAAGGTAGTTCCCCCCCTGGGGTTTATTCTCTGTTTTTGTTTTTAATGTCTCCTTTAACCTTATCAGTGATATAGGATTATGAATAATCTGAATTGATGTCTTAATACTTGACTTATTCATAACCTTAATTTTCCCTTAATTTTTATACTTCTTGCTATCCAATGACTGGGTTTCATTGCACATTAGTTTATTGCTGCTTTTACTTTTTTTATTGTTTATTTACATTTTTTATTTAACGTTTGACCACCTACCAGTCTTATCATGTTGCTTGTATGCCCTCATTGATTTGGATCATGTATTTTTTTACAGGTATTACTGTACTTTTCAAGCTGTAGAAAGTGAGAGTTTTTTAACTGTGTTTATGGTCAACTAGCTCAGATAAGCAGATATCGCTACGGTATTCCTAATTTTGCCCACGTGAAAAAGAACTGTTGTCTCCCAATAACTCGAACCCTCACAAACTCAAAACTTACGTTAACTTGAGCCAAATTCAATTTCCCCTGGATTTCCTCCATACAATGTAATTTTACCCTCGGTAACTCAAATCCTCGATAACTCAAACCCCACTAACTCGATCGAAGTAATTTTTGTTTCCCTTCAGATTATTTATACAATTTTACCCTCGATAACTTGAACCATGTTTTAAGCATCTGACAAGTCGGAAAAAAAACGGTGTACCAGTGTACAGAAGTAAAAGTACCAAATTTATTTCAAAACAACTGTATCAATTCTTTGTCGTTACTTTTTTTGTTCTCGTCCAGTTCAGGTTCAGCGTCTATCCCTGTGAAGTGTGCATGATACTTGCATTCCCTCCTCATCTATTTGCTTATTTGCCTACTTCTGGTTATTTGGTTCGAACTCCCGCTTAACTCAAACTTTGTTCGATTTCCCTAGTTATCGGGAGTCACCTGTATTTTCACTGGAATGATCACTTCTTGGCTCAAATTAGCATTATTTCATGATCAATACTTTCGTAGAAAATCTTCAATTTTTTTGTCTTTTTAAGTATCAAGGATACATAATGTAGATTAAAAATTTTTATCAACAGGCAGAAAAGTCAACAGCAAGTTTTCAACTGTCCTGTTGATCGAGAGGGGCTTACACACTGTAAGGTAAAATATCACATTGTAGAAACTATTTATGAACCGATTGCTATATACATAATGAGATATAGCTACTTAAAACCTATTTCTGAAACTCTCATGACGCAAATAAGTTCTGGCCACTCAGAAAAGAGAACTATGTGTTTTACACATAAGAAGAGTTGTAGGTGCAATCAGAGTAATTATTGTGAACAATGTTTTTTAACAAGTGAGAATTAAAATAGTACACCCAATGAAAACGCACAGAGGTGTGTGTGCGTTTTGCGCCAAGTGCCGTGCTTTGCGAGTTGCTTCAGCTATCATTGAATGAGAATATATATTTACACCACAAAATGCCATAAATGGTACCCTTTACTATTAATGTCATTTTCCAGATATCGTATATGTCTTCAAAATTTGGTCATCCCTTGTTGCTAATGAAAATTAAATGGTCAGGGATCCAAGCCAATCAGAAATGTTTTGAATATATATAGTAATAATACTTCTTGGATATGATGTGTATGTTAACTACAGGTCAAAATTAAATTCAAACCTAAGTTCTCAATCTCCTTTGTTTCCAGCTAGCCCTAATTATTCATGACTTAGGGCCAGGACACAAAGGAAATTCAGAATCAACCTAGGTTACAAAATTTCAACCTGAATTTAATTTTAACCTGTAACATGTAGATTCTGATTGTGCAGACGATCGTTATCTTAATGTGAGGAAAATAATTTATGACAAAAATAATTCAGGAAATTATTTAAAATGCAAAAACTGATCAGATGATATAAATCTGAATAATTTTTTGTAGGATATCTTCCCTGATAAAGCAACTGGGAGGAAGATTCTGTCCTTATTCATAAGATGTCCAAGTACTGGATGTGATTGGACTGCTGAACTGAGAGAGAAAAAGGTGAGAAACAATGCGAATTCATTTTTATAATGATCTTTTTGCCGCCGTCGCCATCATCGTCACTAAAGTTTCCTAATTAGCGCTAAGACTCCCGGTGGCAAGTCACAACAATATAGCCTCGTCTCACCTTCACATAGTAGATTTGTCACACTGGCAAAGAAGACACTGCTGTACCACCCTTTAAACAGATTTTTTCGACCCAGAATCAAGATGGTCTTGTTATCAGGCCTGAACAGGGTCTTAACTCGATGACAAGGGAGAAAAATTGATTGAGATTCTCAAAACTAGGTGGTTGTTGTCACTGCTCAAAAGTAACACTCAACGACGTGTAGTCCTCGAAAATTCAATTCCTGAGGAACAAATTGAAAGCGTTGCAAATGCATGAAGTTTGAGAAAAATGAAGTCACTATCAATCGTCGTCGTGATACCTCAAACTTTCTCATTTCTGACATTTTACTTTATAATCCTGAGCATTCTTGATTCATCTTTGAGCCTAATATGTTCGTTTGCAACAGTTGTTATAAATAGACATACAGCCAAACTTGAGGCCACTACACGTAAATACAACTCCATCCTGAAAAGGAAAAGAAGAAAAATAATTGTTCCTGCGCACGTGACGATTAATAGAAAGATTAAGCATCGCGTTTAGGGCAAACGGCGAAGGAAAGAAAAGAAGCAAAAAGGTACCTCTTGGGTCCCGTTTTTACACTACCAGTAGCTTATGAGTCATGTTTAGCCTGTTAATACTTTATTTCAAAGCTGTTGGTTGGTCACTTACCACGCGAATAAAACAGTGGAAAAAAATGTTGTTCTCAGTTGAGTAGGTGTTAGTGAGGAGGGACGAAATGCAAACTCCCCTAAAAACGCCTGCGTGGGAGGCTAGTTAAAGCGAAGTCAAAGAAATTCCTAACCCATAAACGGTAATGAATAATGAAGTTTTCAAAACTGGCGAAGCAATTTGATAATTTAGATGATAATTTGGGTTTGTTTGTTTGCTTTTATTTATTATATTTTAAATTGAGAGTGGATATAAGTTATTATTATTATTTGTTTATTTTAATTTATTCTTTTAATGGCGTTGGCATCCTGTCGGGAAAACGGACGTTGGCTTGTTCAGCGAGGGTGCGCTTCCGTCCCTCTTGTCGCGACTTCAGTGCTTATTTTCAACAAGGCAAAGAAGTTCATTTGTTAGCAAATTTAGGTTTCTGTTTTCTGTTTTTGTCAATTAAAGATAGCAGATAGCATGTCCATAAAAACCTGCATGTCTGTTGTAGATTCGTTGGTTTACGCGTCTACTTGTACATTCCTTAACCAAAACGTCAAAAAGCGTTTTTCGTTTTAAAGGGAACCTCCACTTCAACAAAAAGATAACTTTAAATCACAGGAAATAACTGTTACAGTCAAGTCAATCTAAAATATTTTTAAAGAAAGCGTTTGTATCCGAAAGAAATAACTTTTAGATTCGCCTATTTTTGTTTTCAAATTTTGCGGGCGTCGCCATCTTGAATAATTGTGACGTGTAATGGTTGCCCTATTGTTATTAAACAAAAGCTCTTTGTGTCAGAACAATAGAGCAACCGTAACACGTCACAATTATTCAAGATGGCGTCGCCCGCGAAATTTGAAAGTGAAAATAAGCGATTTTAAAATTCACTTTTCCTGATATAAACACTTTTTTTAAGACAAATTTCGAACAAATTTGTTTATCAACATAATTTTATTCGATTTAAACTTATTCTGTAGTAAGAGTGGAGGTTCCCCTTAAATTATGCAGTAGTCTGATGCATCGTACCCTTGCATCCCTAAATTGCTCTCAATTTTTCCGGAATCAAGTTTGCAGGTATTGAAGGTTTCGTGACCGCAATTGTGAACCTGTTTCCTTTGCAGTTAAGGCGTGGTTATCGTAAAGAAATCTTCATTGCCTGTGTTTGCATGGTTTGGTACCTTATTGGTTCATCCATGGTTACTAAGGTATGTTTACCCTTATTCTGTTCAAGCTTTTATCTAAGTTGGGCTTTAATCTTGTATCAGCCACTTTCATGAGTTGATGTAATTTTATGAAGTACATTTATTGGAAAACGTAATGAGGTTTTTTGTATCATTGTATTGTATGTGTTGCAGTTAAGTTTATTTTTCTATTGTTTTTCGGTATGATAATGGAACAAACGAATTTTAAGTTGGCTCGTACCAGTTTCCCTCTTTTTTGACAGTTTAAACGGACAGAGCAAAAAAGCAATCCAAAGCCATGGCATGGATTATACAATGAATTTTTGACTTCAAACAACCATTATTTCGTCATTAGCAGTTACCATGGCAACGTATCTTCAAGATTATTTGGACCTACTTTTTGGCTTCCAGCACTGATAACTAGAAAACTAAGCCGGTGTTTTGGACAACAACTTTTGGCATTAGAAAAGGAAAATACACATTGATTTTAAGAAAATTCTACAAAGCGAATTTTCAAAGTGCGAAAGTGGAAAATGGGACATTTTCATTTAGTAGAAATTTCTTTCCGTAGAATTTTTTAACTTTTTCTCTGTCGTTTCCTATCAACTCTGACAAAAAAAATAGGGGGTCACGGGAGATGTTTTCTTGTAAAATACTTCAAGATTTCACAAATTCCCATGCGTGTCTTCGTGCTTGTAAAATCTGAATCCTATAAGAACATGGGTTACTCATGCGCTGTGTTGACTACCACTGACTGTTGCGTGCACACTCGTAGGCATCCATTAAGTTTGTTACAGTAATTGCAGAGCGGAAAAAACTTACACGCTTCAAATTAATGCATTGTTACTATGTTTTCCCGTTCAGTGTAACGTTTAGTAACTTGAAACATCGCCTTCTGGACTCGCAAAGTGGCAAAGAGAAAATTGTTTGCAGGAAACTGACGAAAATCGACTTAAAGTTTTCAATTTTCTTCGTCGATCTTGTAAGAACGCTATACAGTAGCTTCAGCGGGGTAAACATGATCCAAACGACGAAATGTAGCCAAGAAGATAACGTGTGGTTAATTGTGGTAGTATTCTAGTTTATTGTTTTCGTATTTTTGCTAGTGCTAAGAGAGTCATTGCTCTTCTAATCCCTGTCACGATCGATCGCAGTGCACATCGCACACAAGGTTCCCTTTTGAAACTTACGCATCGAGCGGAAAAATAATTGTATTCTTAAAAATATATAGTTAAAATAGGAGTTTACTGCATGCTTAGAGTTAGATAAACAAGAATTTTAATTAAAACAGGCAAAAAGTAACCTCACACGAAAATGTTAAAACTTGCACAAAAATAGCCACGTGTCGTCATATTTGTTTTCTGTACCTCGTCCGTACAAAGTGGAGCGGGATGCGCGCCTACGATGGACTCCTCACGTGAGAAACCTACTACGAGCCACCTTAAACAAAGGAAAAACAAAAATTAACTGAAATTAAAAAAAAAAAATAACCACAACATATGCATCAATGTAAATGAAATTCCATGTGATAACCGTAGGCCCGCGGTAAATACTTCGAGCGATAATAAACTAGATCCCCTCAGTCGACTGATTTGTTTCGGCCAATCACATGCAAGCTGACACACGCACAATAAATATTTTTATTAAATTTTCAACCTCGGATAATGCATTTCTAGCATTCTGATTGGTTCACTCAATCTCAGTTATCAGCTCATATACCTTAGTTTGACCTTATATGGAAAACGATTACGCTCAGTGTTGCCGAGCTAAAAATTTTTCGCCAGGAAACAAAATTTCTTCTCGGACAAAATGGTGGAAAAAAAAAACTGTAGATTTCGCGAGCTTTCTACGGACGAAATACAAAAAATGCTGGAAAATGCCATACCGGCAGCGACAAAAAAAGCCACAAACTGTGGTTTGAAATTATTTAATGGTACGTCTCCCCGAAGTTTCCTTACAAATTTAAAGAAATTGTAAGCTTCAAGGTGATTATGTAAGATCAACAACAAAATTTACCTTTAAAATTTTCAGAATGGCTTGCAAGTCCTCGCAGGGGTAAGTTTTCAAAACCATTAGAGGTTTTTTTTTGCATGTTTGAAGAGCTTTTACACTTATTACACTTTCGTAAGTCCATAACGGGCCTTAAGTGAATCATACAACGAGTGGCTTTCCATTAAACAAGTCTTGTCCTTGCTCTCATGATCAGTGATTTTATTGATTGATGAAGCTAGGTATTTGTGCAGCTCCGATTCATGCAGTGTAGAAAGAAAACGAAACTGACGAGCAATCAGGTTGACATATCCAGTTTCAAATTCCACAGCAGTCACAGCAAGAGAACGCGAAAACAGTTCTTGTTGAGAATAATTTTACCACAGCGTCCTTGTCACATAGCGATCAAAGCTTACAATTGCAATGTGCAGGTGCACAATTATTACACTTGTCCTTGACTTTAACTTTGAAGTCTTAATTTCTGAAGAAGATTTCAACCCTAACATTTGATCAACGTTCCTCTTTTATGAGAGAAATATTCTTTTTTGTCTGTGTGATTTGCTTCCTTTCATATTATACACTTAATGTCAGATCCCGAGGGAAACAGTTAGTTTTCTTTTCTCGAGAGTTTTGATGTTTCCAAACATTAGGACTCGAGGGAAAACAAAACTAACTGGTTTCCCGAGGGACCTGAGTACCTGAAATTAAGTGTTTTGTTATATTTCTAGACAGCAACAGAAGAATAACCCGGGCGAGCCAAAACAGTCAACTTAGTACTTGTAACAACACAAATTTAATTCTCAAAACCACTGAATGAATGATTTATAAAGTACTCTCCTTATATTATCTACATCTTTTTTCTCCACTAGCTGCTGTTTCTCTTCTGGGATGACTTTAAAAATCGTTGCTTTTTAGCTTGAGGCTTCGTGTTTGTGTTGTTGTGTTCATTCACGAAAAAGAAAACTGGCAGTGTTTTTCCCGCCTTCTGTCACACCACTTTCCACCATGCTTTGATCACGTGCTGTAATGTAGCCCAAGTGGGGTACATTGCTTAATGTATCACGATAAGTATACGTCTGATTTTAGTCAAGGCCACTTGACCAAGAATCAACCAGTGTCAGTCCCTGTTTAGTTGAGTGAAAGTCTAGGAATATAACAATTTTTATTGACTTAAGTTCGCAAACGGCGCAATGTCATGTGATTTTCAATTGGTTTACCAGAAGTTACATCAATATCCGGTCGTTTTGTAATATTTTTAATATTTTTAAATTTTTCTCTTCAACAGCAACAGAAGAATAACCCGAGCGAACCAAAACAGTCAACTCGGTACTTATAACAACACAAATTTAATTAAAAAAATAAAATTTAGCAAAATTCAGCTGTAATAACCAGACGTTTGGAGTTTAAAAAAATTCATAAAACAATTATTCCATTGGATACAAAATGATTGCAACCAACTTGGCGCTACGGGCCTCGTTGGTTATTTACCATCTCATATCCAACGCGCTCATGGAATAATTTCTAAGTAATAAATTTGTTGGTTTAAATCCCGATAGAAAAACAGTTTGAGTACCTCGATCACTCTTTACCTCATTTCCCCACAATTACTCTGTTCTAGGTATTTGTTGGGTAAATTAACCTTCAGCTTAGCTGAATTGAAGATACTAAGGCTTTTTTTAACAACTACCCTATCCAGTTTTACATTCGGTCCGTATTGAACTGATTTACCATAACAAAACAAACAAAACAGAGCTAAGTAAAGAGCAATTTATTTGTGTGACTTGCTATTCGATTGAGGATTTTAATCATCTTTTAAAAAGTTATTTTCACATGGGCACTCTGTGGTATCAAATTTTTTAGGAAGTTTTTCTATTTTCTTACTCTTCAAGCAATAAGCTTTTCTCGTGTTTGCATAGCTTGATATAAACACGAGAGAGTGTTGGGAGAATTGACAAACATCAAACTCTATGTTACTAGCGCTGATTAAAAGAGAAATTCTTACTAGTCGAAAAGTATTGTTCACGAAATTGTTTTAACTAAATGTAGTACCCGCAATCACTTTTTGTTGCGCAAATAAATGTGTTATTAGAATACACACTATCTCGTTTAAAAATGTTACCGTAAGCAAAATTGGAAAAGCTGAAAACGAAAAAATAAAGGAGGTCGATAAAGGTTAATTCATAACAATTTTTTGAAAATAATATTATACTGATCTAGATTCATTATATGGCACTCATCTCAGTGATCTGAATAGAGAAAATATTTGCTTCTTGTATTTACTCTCATGTACGCAAAGCAGTTTGCAGATCCAACACTAATTTCTAGGATTGTGGCCTAGATACTTCTTCAATCATTATACGAGACACGAAGACCCACCCAGTGTAAGCATCACCCAACTTCCAGCTGCCACACTGTCCTACCCATAATTCCACCCTAACCGTCCCTTTGGGAATGTTTTCGCAGTAGCCCTCAAATGACCGATGGTGATGAAGGTTTGGAAGACTCCCAGGCCAATCACTGTAGACTGCAGCCTCGATTGTCATTGGACCAGTGCATTCGTTTCCATTGAATCTGAAATACCATCGATTACACTTCTGATCACTACGCATTCTTATATTTCCCTGGAATGAGACTTTTAGAGCTGTATTGGACTTCAATTTGTTGAACGTACAGTCCTGAAATAAAGCAAAATTCATGCATTATTTTATTATTATTTTTAGATTTTTAGAGTTTAATTTTTTTTTAAATGAAAGATCATCATCCAGGAGTAGAAGTAACTAAAATATCAGCTTTGGAAGGAAGCAGCTTTGACAGCTGACAGTGGTAAGGAGATTTATCTTCCTACAGCTGTAAAATTTCATTTAAACAAACCTTTGAGAAAAAATTACACTGAAATCTTTGTCTTCTTACATATAGACTCACACTATGTTTCTCACTCAGCACATTTCTTGTTCACCTTAATCTTTCCATTGTCAGTATCGGAGTATGATTTCCACACACATTGTTTCCAGTTGGTTTCTGGTACTACACTTGCTTGACTTGCTTTGGCGCTTTCTCCTTTCTCTCCTTTGTCTCCTTCTCTTCCTTGATTTCCCACAACGCCTGGTTCCCCTTTCATTCCCACAAGTCCTGGGTCACCTTTTATTCCAGTGATTCCTGGTGGTCCGCTCTTTCCAGGAGGCCCTTCGCGCCCTTTGTCTCCTCGTGGACCCGGCCTTCCTTGTGATCCCTTATCACCGGTTTGTCCTTTTACACCTTCCCTTCCTTGGGGTCCTTGCGGCCCGGGAACGCCCGGCACTCCCGGCATGCCATTAGATCCTGGAATGCCGGGAAAACCATGACCTAGTATAGATTTCTAAAAGTAAAGATGACCTAGATTAACATTATTCGTGAGAATGAGCTATTTCATTCCTCTTAACGCTAAAGGTCACACACCCACCGTTTCAGTCCTTTGTTAGCGCACAAAAGCTGGTGATAAAAAAAATGTTTTTATTGAAAAATAAAAACAAAACAAAAACTGCCGTTTGAATTCCTAAAACTGAAGGAAGCCAGTTAATCAAGGACCAAAAGGTTGACAATTAAACTGTCCAAACTGCATTACATTTCATGCATCTTTGCGGATTATATGATACAATAAAGATGTGCAAGTGAAAAACGGTACGCGAAAAGCTTGCAAAAGCCTCAATTTGAATGCTAGTAATGAATCCCGGGACGGCGTTCGTTTTAGTGACCTATTTTCGAGGGTAAAATAGTTCTTTCTTCTTACCTCACATAAATCTTTTAACTTTGCGGTGTTTTGTTGCTGTGGTGAGGTGGTTGTCTCAAGTGAACCGCAAGGAATACACAGAATCAGGAAAACAGCCAAGTACTGAACCATGGTGAGAGGTGAACCAGAACACTGCGAACTGAAGTTAGTGCTACGTGTTCTTCAGTTTTATATGTCCTAAGGTTAATCTTCGCTTCCTTTTTAGAGTTTGTTTTTGTTTCTTTTGTTTTTGCTTCGTTAATCTTTTCAGCTTCTTATTCTGTGTTACATGTTTTACACGAACAAAAGACAGATATTATATTATATTTTTTGTTTTCGTACTTTTGATTATTTTGTTTTTCTTGGTGCCCTGTTTCGTTTTTCCTTTTAAACGTTGGCTTTTTTAAGTATAAAAGTACAACTTTGCTCTAACATTAGCACAGCAAGCCCAAACTTGTCTGTTTTCCTTGGGTAGCCTTCAAATTGTGTTATTTTAAATACACGTACATTCATACATGGAACTCATGGTGAACAATGAGACTCTTAAGCAGCATTGTAATTTTATCTCTTACCAAAATTGTAGCGCTTCTCTGACAGTTTCAGGTTTAGCGATCGCTTGCTGGGTAAAGCAGAATATAAAAACTCACTGATTCGTACACACTGAAAATAGTGCTTAACGTATTTTTAGTTTCCGTTGTCTTTATAATTTTTGCATGCTAAGACAAGCTTTTAGGCATAAAAGAGCTGTTTACTAAATTCTTATTAAGAGCTTTTTATTAACAATTGGTTCTCACGTTTAGTATAACAAGTCGAAACGTGTCTTTTGTTTCTATATGTTGATGAGAGACATTTACAGATCTGGACCTTTTGAACAAGTGTCCTTTCTAAGTGAGTCATGTTGAGCAAAAAAAAAAAAAAGAATTTTGGTAAATCCCCAGCCTACGAACAACCCCACTTAATGGGGCTATTTCATACTATTTTCTATGATGTCCTTTTTTCGCATTAAACTGAACTCTAAATGTAATGGTCCATTTTTGTTATTTAAGGCTATCTGCAATAGATGTACGACCAGGATAGACATAGACTGATCGGGTTAGTACTCCCTGATGGAATTTGTTTGGTATGTTCATAACTCTACAGAAACACGCGCATGGGTAAAGGCACTAAGTAATGACTTCACAACAAAATGGAGCTTTAAAACGACAATATCCTAACGACGTAGCCCCCTTAATTATAGATGACAACGTAATCAGCATTTGTTTTCTCTTTGGTAGGATCTTTTCCCTTTTCTTTAGCTCTTTTCCTGGTATTTCTTCTTGCTATGGATAGAGTGATTTTACTTGACCCGTGAAACAAATAGAAACAACTAATACAAAGCAGCTTGTTAAGTAAAATCAGTCGACTTGTTTAAAGGCGGTCACGTAGTGTTACCTCAGTGGTAACGATATGAGTCAATAATTATAAGCCTTTTCCTTTGTTTGAAAGAGTGAGAGATTCAAATAATTCAAACATTAAGCTTTAGTAAGCTTTTCTTTAAGTAGGATTTTGTTTAGTATTGTTGTTTTCAAGTGAAGGCTAATACCATCTTTATTTTTTAAGCACATTACTTGAGATTTATGATAAGTCTAATTTCTTTTCTCGGAACCTTGGACAGTTTCGCATTGTGTACAGAACTAAGTTCTCGCGATCCCCAAAGATAACTGAATGATCCCCTTGTTTCCTTTACCTTAATTGTGTGATTCCCCTAAAATCCTCTGAACCACTGCAGGCGATAAATACTGTTATATACAGCATTATTAGGGAGCTTAAAAAACGACGACGCCAACGAGTACGGCAAAAAGCAATAGGGTTTAGGTTGGCAAAACAACAACTTTGCTCGTGCATCACGCTTTTTTTGTTCATTTCTTTGCCGTCACTGCATGAGTACAACGTGATTGTGCCTAATTTCACGTTTTCTTGGGGACGTGAACACAAGTCAAAAACTTCCTTTTTCTTTTCCTGGACTTTGATACTCTCAGTTTTATAATTCAACTACAAAAAAACAGAAGAAAACAAAATTGCTAAAAATTGAAAAATTAAACGAGATAAAAAAAGCACGACAAAGTTTGAGGCAATGCGAATTCACTTTTTTTAAGTGCCTTTTTTGTAGCCCTCTTTTTCTGTCGCACTTTGTAATAATCGTCCCACTTTGTGCTGATACCTGTCGCACTTTGTAATAAAATTGTCGCACTTTGTAATAAGCTTGAAATGTATGGTAGTTGGAGGAGTAAACCCACTAATAAATATCATTATCAGAAGGGTCTGATGCGAGATTTCTTTAAAGAAAATTATTACATTAACAAGTTTGCCAAGATTAATGGCGGTTTTCTGCCTATGTTTGTTCTATTTCTGTTTAGGGTGGTGTGTATGTCTTTCAACTATTTGATTCGTACTCCGCCAGTGGTTCTGCCCTCTCTGGGTGGCGCTACTCCAAAGCATCGCTATTGGTTGGATGTACGGTAAGAAAAATGCCATATGAAATAAAACAACCCGGGTTTTGTTTGTGTTATTGACAAATGATGAGGTTCACATCGTCCATCCATAGCAAAAAATAAAATAGAGTCTGATGTCCATCAAACATGACCCGAAATAAGACTGGTCAGTCTATGTATTTCTTTGCCACAGGAATTTTTTCTTGTGGACACAAAGAAGACAAGATAGCTCCGTCTTGCCTGCTCACGTAGCCATAATAAACAACACTATGTCTGCTCCATTTTGGCTTGTTCGCATTTCCTTCAACGTGGTTAAGAATTCAATTTGATTCAACTTGTTTCTTCTTCTGCATTGGTTTATGGATTTAAAAAACGCTCGCGACAGACCTGAAGCTGCACCTACTGTACGTTTCCTTTTTTATGCCAGGTCGGTAACATAATCTTATTGTGCCCTACACCCTTAGAGTGTCATTATTGTTGACCCATAAAGGAAAAGGATAATGTCTTTGATTTGTTAAGTTGTGACTAGTTTCATATATATCATCATTCAGGTGGAAAGCGCTTCTATGACGACATGGAAAAAACGATTCGATTTCGTATCAATCCCTGGTGCCTTTGCTTGAGGAAACGAATTTAGGGTTTTTCCCTAGTACTGCCTTGCGCATCCTTACTGCGCACAATTTTCATGAGTAATAGCGCGCGCACATTAAAACATGGCGGCTTTTGCCTCAAGGCTGGAACTCCCAGAGGTGCGCACGGTAAATCGTAAATCGAATATGGTGACCTATCACTTTTTTCTCTTTTTTACAATGACCAGTAAATTTCTTCTCTAGAATAAATACATGCTGTAGACTAATTTCCATTGCAGAAAAAAGGGGAATTGTCGGAAATTAGTGTGTTCAAAGCATGTACTCGTAAATATCACATGTGATGTAAATTATTGCGTATATACAAGTTGCTACTGCTCCTTAAAGAGTATGGGGACCTCCCAATTTTATTTCAAATTTGAAGTTTCTTCAACATAAACAACTGCTTGGTAACGTTTGACAAAAATTTGACAGGAATGACCTCAGTGATATTATGAAATTACTACAGAATCACGTCTAGATTTTTCCCTTTTATATTTTTGAGGCCTTTTTGAATATTGCCAATCTACTCACCACAACGGAAGTGTGTAATTAGGCATCTAAAAAATAACTTGAATTTTTGTTTGTCTTTTAGTAAGCAGCTCTCGAATTTTCTTGCCCGGGGCTACTTCTTGCTCGTCTTAGTTGATGATTTAGTTAGACGATGACTTGCTGGGACCTTTGCCCATTGTACAAATGAGCTTAAAAAGTTACTTGACCAGAGAAAATATACTTGTCCCGGACTACTGGACGGGACGTTTTTGAAGGCCTGTGTAGTATGCCTCACTTATTTGTTGTGTAGTGAGTTGCGAAATATACTTCCATAAATTAAAATTTGATGTCAAGCGCTATTCCGCAGGTTGAAGTGACTACATTTTTCCCCAACAGGCGGTCTTCATTTTTAGTCTCGTGACATATTCGCCACTCAAATATGACGACTATGATTATCCAGACTGGGGACAAGCCATTGGTTGGATCATGGCCCTTTCATCAATCGCCTGTATACCATTTGTGATGCTGTACAAGTTAGTCACTACACCGGGTTCTTTTAAGGAGGTAATTATAATCAAATATTTTCATAATTATGCATACAACGGATCATTATACGTCTCTGGGAAACTGCGCATCACCTCTCCCCTAAGCCAACATTTTGCCGAAAGTGAGAAGTAAGTGTTAGTGTTCACTAAGGGGAGGGGTAGGTGGGCAGTTTCTGACCAGTGGCCATATAGCATTTTAGTGCTATAAAACGTAAAAAATTTCGGTCAGGTTTAAAAATTAATGCTTTGCCTGCAAAAATCACTACAAATATTATTGTTAGCGCTCCTAATGACTCCCTTAACGAAATTTTGATGAGAAGAATGACGACCTTCCTGTCCAGGTTCAGTCGGTTCTCACTAGGGTGGGTTATACAGGATCACTAAAAAGAGCTATGAATTGATGTTGCTTTTACGGAGTTAATATTTGTACATTTGTATTTCTTGTTTGTTTGTTTGTTCTTTTTCACCAGCGTTGGAGCTCATTGATCACTCCTATTTTTAAGCATCAATCGCCAGGTGCACAACAGATGGATTCCCTGGAGACTTACAAATCCTATGACAAGAACGGTCTCTGAAGATTCTTCAGAGCATTGAAAAGACATCGTGTGTGGTCTCTATGGGCTCGAGTCAATTTTCCTGACCATTTTCTTTTTTTGTCTTTTTTTTCTGCCCTTTGAAATATGCAAATATGATAAGGATAAGTAATATTTCCTTTTTCCGTTTTTGTTGGAAAAGTGAAAAATTAGATTGGCCGAAGTGTGCACGGACCCAATAGATTTTGTCTCATTTGCTAATAGTTTTATTGCATTGCACTCAAAACCATTTAAGTAATGAATATGGGTGTAAACACGGCAAACTTAAAACAACTTCCCGGCATTGTTGATTAGCAGGACTTCACGAAACTACGCCCAAGCTTTGGCAAAGTAATGAAATTTTTCTTCATTACGTAAGAATAGCTCAAAATAGTATTGAAAGGCTAACACCGCTTCCCACTCAAGGCGGCGCTTAACGATCACTTTCGATGATGGCCTTGTATAAGTCTCTGCGTTAGCTATGGGAATAGCGTTACTTTAGCACATCAAACTGAATGGTGTTTCCCAATCATGCCTCTGCCGTACGAAAATGTAGACAGTTACGACGTCCACACCACGCAGATCAAGTTTTGAATATACCGGCTAAAAATTTGTTCTAGATTTTGGTTAATGCACGAATTTTTCCAGCGGTCATAAACTGGTTCCGTGACTGTGTGAACGTAGCTTTATCCCTTCATGGGGTGTTATTGTATTAACAGTCCCCTCCCCCAATGATATTACTTTTCTTATCGAACAGAAGTCCCTTCCAATTGATTAGGAAGCGTAAGGATGATGAGGCTAATTAGTTTAATCATAGCCATTATGATCTTAACATGAAGGTGTTAAGACCCTGCGCTACGGCTCAAACCTGTCATTTCCCGACCAGCAAGGCCAAAACATTTTCCAACTGAGCTAATCCGGCAGCAGTTAAAGAAACTCCCAAGAACAAGGAAAGACTTGATACATTTCTGTTGTTGTTTTCTTCGATTTTAATTTTCCAACTTTATCTTTCGTCTTCATTCTTAAAAACATGGTAAACTTAAATCCTTAAAATATATTATTATCCACCGGGACTTCTATGTGTAACCCTTGTCAGAACTAATTAATGTAAACAAAAAGGGCCAGTCAAAAGAACCGTTAGATGGCAATGATATCAAATTTTACTATGAAATATCTTTACCTCTGCAAAAACGTTGAAAGTAATAACCGTCTGCGAGGCCTTCAATCCGTGGCCTTAGTTTCTAATCAGGGTATTATAATCTATGACTGTGCAATATAATTGTAATTTCCCAAATATGAATAAGTTTGAGATGACATAACAGCAACGTGAACATTTAAAGAGTAATAAACATAACAATACTCCTCTTTGCGCGTATCGCCCTTTTTATCTTATTTGTTTGTTGTCACATCCTCTTCCCTAAGCTCTTTCTCCTTTTCCTTCCTTTTCGTCGAGTAGACCCTAGTCTGTCAGTGACTCTGGCCTGATCATGTGACCACCTAGCTAAATAAAAACCGCAGAAGGCGTCGACCCTCGACCAATGTTCGACGAGATGATTTTATAGTTACTAGGGAAGGGTGAGATTGAACGTGATAGTTTCATTTCTTAGCTTTGTTCCGAAGGGACTGCGTTTGGCTATTTCTCCCTTTCCTCCCTTGTCGTCGTGCAGATAGACTATGATCATGTGACCAACTTTCCAATTCAAAACGGTAGGGCGGTAGGTCCAAATTTGGAGAGCGTGAAATTAAACAGCGGTATTTTGAAGTATGTATAAACTGCGCTTGCACTTTCTAGCTGTGTTCAGAAGATGCTGCATTTGGCTCTTTGTGGCAGTCGTGGCATATGTCACCTAGACTTTTAATCGTGCTCGGAACCGAGGGCGATGTCTCAATACATCTTTTAAATCCTGGGCTCATCTTACTTTCACAACAGGATTGACTGCTCTGGATCTTGTCTTAGAGAAGCTTAGGGCTGTTTAGCATGGCCTACAGACCAAGTTTGGAAAATCTCTTCGAGGTAGAGACCCTGCAGCGACTTAGCCGAAGGCGAGACGAGGGCAGCTCTTTTCATTGAACAACTTTGATTTTTGTGACACACTTTAGCACAAATCCTATATAAAAATGAGTCAGCAGAATAAAGATTTTTTTGTTATTTTGAAAGTTTAGAGAGCTTTATAACAATGACGACGGCAACGGCAACGAGAACGTCAAATAAGCAATAGGTACCAAAAACACCATTTTTTTACGTGTTCCACGCTATTAGTACATCAACTTGCCGTCCCTGCAGGAGCACGTAAAGACAGAAAGAAGGAAATAAACGTTTCTTTCTCTTTTCCCAAGCTCCCAGTTCTTCAAGAGATGAATAGCGCTATCCACCGGATAAAACACTATTCAGTGGGTATTTTGAAGTCAATTGCATTGTCGTTTGAGCAACTGGGGCCAAAAAAATACACCTGTATTTGACATATTAAACGAGTTAGAATAAACGCAACGATTTTGAAAAAATACCAGTTCATTTTCATAAAGATGTTTTCGCTGTGGTCGCCATCATCGTTGCTAAAGTTTCCTGATTAGCTCTGACACCCTGAGGCAAGTGACAACAATACAGCCCTCCCACGTTCACATAGTAGATTTGTAACACTGGTAAAGAAGACACTTTGCTACCCCACCCTTCAAACAGTTTTTTAAGACCTAGAATTGGGGTGGTCACTTGATCAGGCTCGATGACAAGGGAGACAAATTGATTGAGATCCTAAAAACTAGGTGGTTGTTGTCGCTGCACAAAAGTAACACTCGATGACATGTACAGTGTAGTCCACGAGAATTCAATTCCTGAAGAACCCGTGAACAAATTGAAAGTGTTGGAAATAATTATCGCATAAAGTTGGGGAAAAACAAATTGACTATCAATCGCCGCCGTGATATCTCAAACCTTTTCATTTCTGGAAATTCATTGTATAATCCTAGCCATTCTTGTTTTAAATTTGACCATAATACTTTCGATTACAACATTTGTTGTAAATAGACATACAGCCAAACTTGAGGCCACCACGCGTAAATACAACTCCATCCTGAAAAGGAAAATAAGAAAAATAATTGTACTTACTGCACACGTGACGATTATCATCTAATTAAATATGCCCCTGATTGTGGTATAAGGATGCTGTTATAGCCAGAAGATTTTTGCACTAAATCGTTTTTTTACCTAACGTTTTAAATATTTCATTCTCACAGCATGCAGAAAACTTGAAAAACAGTGTTAAAAATGAGAACTGTGTGTGCGCCTGCTTTTCTCTAACATTAATCTACCAAAAGATATTTAACAGTTGCAACTAAGGCAGTTGCCAGGGGAGGGGTAACCTCCACATTTATTGCCGTCTGAACCTTTATATCCCCTTTCACCACCTCTCGTATAATAATCAGGAGTGAAAGGGTGATAATAGTACGATTTCACCCACATCGCAAGCAGCTTTTCAAATTTATTGCAACAAAAGAAAACGTTTGATAAAAGACCAGACCCTCCTTTTAGGGCCTGTTTACATGGCGGTGGGGAACCCCAAGTAGGTGAGGTAACCCACCTGTCCATATAATCTCTCATGATCACGTTAACATGATAGGTGGGGTGACCCGCCACATATGTTACCTCACCTATCTGGGGTCCCCCACCTCCATGTAAACAGGCCCTTAATATATATATTCTTAAACCGAGTCGGTTGGATTTAAACCCTAAAGAACTGTATCAAAGTTCAAGAAAAGAAAAATAAAGTTGTAGTCTTGAATTCCCGTCCTCGACAAAACGTGAAATTAGACACTCTCACGTTGTAAGTCGTGCAACGACGGCTAAGATATGAAACAAAAGCGTGATGGACGTGCCAAGTTGTTGTTTCGCTAATCTGTTGCCGCTCTCGTTGCCGTCGCCGTCGTCATTGCTTAAGCTCCTTAATGTCGAAAATACTCCGGTGTGGTATGACTGCCGCATATAGTGGCAAGGAGACCTGTCCAATATGTGACAATCCATTTAGAAGACCGGTGTGGGCATAGTTAGTAGAGGAGACTGGTTATGAAAGCCGGCAAACATCAAAGATGAAAACAATGGTGCTGCAGTTTATATTGGAGGCTCCCTGACCGTACACAATCTGTTTTTTTTGTTCACAAAATGTGACTGAATAAATTAATGCGATGTTTCTATTGGTCAGTAAGTTCAAAATGATAGGAATGCTATCGGTCAAGTCTAAAATAGCTAACAAAAACATATAACAAAGGAGTCTGTCGGGCTTCATGACATTGAACTTTATTAACTATGGTGTGGTGCAGTCACCCTCCTTTCAAGATCACCGTTAATATACCGATTTGAACAAAAACCCTTTCCTTTGCGATTTTCCCGGCTGCGCAAGAGCTATCTGCTAGGCTGGTTTTCACTAGCAACGGAATTCGGAGTTGGAATCGTAAGCGGTGTGGCACTTATGACCTTGTGATAAGAAAAAATCAGAGCGCGACGGAGTTGGAAGAATCAGAACGTTTCAATTTTACGACTCCGTCGTTTACGAGCTAGTGAAAACCAGATTTTCGGAAGCAGAAGCGAAAGGATCAACCAATCATTGGGTTAGTTCCACGCTTTGTGAAAGGTTTAGTTCTTGCGCTTCTTCTTGCGACTCCGACGACCTAGTTTTAACTAAATAGATCGTAACCAACAGAGTTTTCACTAGACTCGGTCGCTAGTCATGACAAGCCTTAAGGCTTTGTCTTCACTATATCGGATACTTAATTCTTTTAGACGCGGAACTTCTTTCTTAGACTTCACTTCACTTCTCACCTTAATTAAAGATGGAATATCCGCCCAAAACTCGTAATTGGGTACCATCTCTGTTAAGCCTTCTGCTCCCATTTTAAACTTTCTAATGAGAATTCCACAAAAAAGGTAAACAAAAGCCAAAACAAAAAATCTGAAAGCAGATGAGAACATAACCTAAATATTATGAACATATAAGTATTTAGAATGATTACAA